TTATGTCGGTATGCTATGTATTTTAAGGGAGTGTGCATCGTATAACCTTTGAAATATGCAGAGAAAAACAACAAAAGTATCTAAGACACAAAATATTTATATCATAATGCACTAAATTAGTCATCCTTAAACTTTATTTGCCCTAATCAGTTGGCAGTTTCTACATCATAAATGGCAATGTTGGATAAACTGTCGGTACAACAAGATGTTGTGTGAAACGTATGAATATCATCAGGTAACCTGTTCAAAATTAAGTTAAGTGGTGAATTTATAATGCGTACTTAACAGTATTAGATCTGATTTCAAAAATGATTTCTACAAACACGCACAAATGCACAATATTTTTGTGTAATTGACAGATAATCGATTACCGTGCTTGTATGCGTAGAGATATGCTGTGAGTTACACTTGACCTTATTGCTAACATGCACACACACACGGACGCCATAAGGTATACACTGGAACTGCAACTTCGATACGCACGTCTACACCGATAAAATATGAGGGAAATATTATTTATCTTCTGATTCCTTTTTACTTAATTTATATTCGCTTCTAAATCTGTGTGGAAGCAAATTTTCAATTCCTTATAATTCTATTGTATAAAAACACAAAAAATAGCAACAGGAAATACTGACTGACATACATTCAATGTCTTAATTCAGCGTTGTTGTGCGTTCACCCTTCATGTGTTCAACGTTCCAACAACAACGGCAATAATAGTGATGATAATACATAAAACAAGATGTACACATAAATTCTAAATATTCATTCAAGGCGAAACAGAACCGTCAAAAAGATTAATCATGATGCAAATAATTATCATGTTGTTTATCACTAAAGCTATTTATAACAAAAATAGTAGTAATAGTAGCCCTGCTAGTCAGTGGAATGTAGCGTAAACTGATTCCCTGTGTCTTAACGAAAGGCAGCACAAGCTACATGATCATAAACAGAACTGAAATGATTTATTTCTCCTCTTTCATAGCTTTTCATCATAACCACTGATGAATCAGTCTGATCCTCGGGTTTGCAAACAGGGATATGGAGTGTAAAAACGTGATTTCATAGTTAGTATGCGAAAACAGTACAGAAACAAAATGCCAAAACCTCATCGTTTGTAAAACATCTGTGATTAGTGTTGTTGTTGTTGTTCTCACTACAGCTCTTTTTATTCATAATTCTGATACTTTGTATTTCGACAAACTCATCAGTCTCACTCCTTCACGAAAAATTCAACAGTTTAATGGGTTCCATGCAAGCTTCTGGCAAGCTTCAAATGTACATGGTAAAATTGTCTTTTATCATTATTGTTCACTTATCACCTTTATCTCCATTTTTCTTCCAATATTATAACAAAATGTAAAAATAAGTTTATATTTGTTGGTATTTTGATTTTATTTATCGTGCTGATAGCCCATAAGAAAAACTAAAAGACCTTGGATATCTGTTATTCTATTGTTACTCGATCTTCTTCATCATTCATCCTCATTCTTTCTTTCCCTGTCTTCTCTTTTGTCGTTTCTTGATCATTTTTGATAACTTGTTCATCTGTTTACCCACTTAGACATTCATCCACTGACGACCTAGTATACTGCATCTTCTTTCAATGGAAAACACAAGGAATGACAAAAACTATACCCTGTCTTGCTGAATAATTCTGCATTTCATATTGATTTCAAAAACTAAACACACTAATGAGGAACATAAAAACTGTATGAAAAATCAGCAGTTGTGACAGTTTAAATCTAGGTGATTCCGTCACGCAGTCATGCAGCTTACAAATCTTTTTGTAAAGTTGAATAAGAAAATTCATTCATGACAGTGAACAACGCTCCAATCCCTTGTGAAATTATTCGAGAGGCCAAATTTATTCACAAAGAACATAGAATATGTGAAACTGCCCTCAGTTTATCACCATAGCCTACTAATCATGCATCTACAGTCGAAACTGTGAATATTGAAAATTAAACCATAAAAATTACTTCAAGTGAATTCAGTGTTTTGACAATCAAAGATAACAAAAATGTTTGTATGGTGAGTCTTTTTGCATCCTAGTCACTAGGATCCTCATAAATCAAGAGAATCGAACTACAGTAAACGAATATCAGACAATAAGCCTCAGTTTGCAAACAAATTCAGACAACATTCACTTGACGACTTCTCGAACTGCAAGATAGTGAGTTACCAGAATAATTTTTTAAGTACAGACTTTTGAACAATGATTCCCAACTGCAGCTCGGTTTCTAAACGGATGAATATCTGCAGTTGAAAGTCGTGGAACAAAATCCTAAGATTAGATTATATAATAGACCATGTGTGATTGATTAAAATGAGACTAAAATGGTAGGAGGCCCTAAAATTTACAAAGAACCTCAGAGGTTACGTTCTTTTGGGACAGAATCATTACCATCTAGTATTAAAATACAAATATCTGTTTAGAGAATATCATATTTCTGTCAGTGAACTAGACACACGAGGAAATCACATGAATGAAGTTCGCCTCCAGACATTCACGTCATCTCCTTACTAAGCGGAAAATCCAAACAATGAGACAGATTATTCATTATATATTTGAAATTTCCTGTACCTAATTACATATTTTTACTGATGCATAATGAATATTTATTTCAGTTAGCATGATTTAAGCGCATTTCATTTTATCAGCTACCTCCACGCAAACAGATGTAAAAACGAAGCTGTAATAACCTTAAAAAGCGTAGAGTGCAGAAAGAATAAGATAATAACAAATACTTATTACCATTGTTCTTTGTGTTTCTCCCTTGTTAATTCATGTAATTAAATTAAATAACTCGTCGAGATACCCAATAAGATTTCGAGATAGGTTATAACACAGCCATGCAGTATTAAAAACTGCGTATGCGCTTACATTAATAGGCTATAACAATTTTTACTGTCTTTAAAGCGAAAACCCTGAAATACATGTTGATTTCAGCATAAACACTAGGAGTGGAATAAAGGTAAATCTAGTAAGTTAAGAATAACAGAAGCTTGAGTCTTGAATGCTGAAAGTACACAGGTCAAAATGATTAGTAACTACAAGTTATAAACTATAACATCAGACAGACAAATAAATTTATTTATATTTTAGAAGAGTCAATCAAAACATATTAGAACACCACCTGATTGTGTCGAATTAGGCGCAATATGTTTCATTATTTTAAAATACAATTAAGCAGAAAAACGCCAGAGATTCAACGCAAAAGTGGAACATCGAATAAACAAGACAAATTTATACAGCCCTCCAATTCTATGATGCTTAGCTCGTATAAAAAGTAAGTAGCTGACAGTACTAATCAGCGTTTTACAGAAAAAACTGGGTTTATTTTCTACAGTTGTTGTGCTTTCTATCTGTTTAAAAAAAATTTAAATCAAATCGGCTATGAGGCATTAGGAGTTGCCCCATATGACTGACTGGTTGGTTCTGAAAACTGTTGGTTGTGATCTAGCACTTAAATAATATCATATTTTTCCATATAACCTATAGGTTTCGCCTACTATCACGTATTATTTTCAAAGGTATGTACTGATAATGAGTACTAAACTAGAAAAAAAAGGCGTTTATTTAACAGTATTCGTGTTCATTGGCCTCTTTACAACTCATATTAATCCACCATGAAATTAATCTTTCAGTAAAATAATGAACTAATAGTAACTCTACTTCACCCATATTACTTAAGAGATTTTTCTCCTTGCAAGCCTCTACTACATTCTACTATACCACCACCTATAGTTAATAAGAAAGCTTCTGCTTTTAAATAAATCATCATTAATTAAGAAATAATTTCGATTGAAGAGGTATTATGCCTGGATTCTTGTACCTGTAGCAAACAAATGTAACCACCCAGCAAACTAAAAATCATACTTCAAGCATCGCTTAGTTTACAGTGATTATCTTATTGGTGAAGTAACTGACACACAGCCATTGCGACCCCGACTAATAATGTTAAAGTAACAGCTATCGATTAAGGTTTCCTTTCTTCTAGTGCTTATTGCAGAGTGGGAATTTTATTACTTTGTGGATAGTTTAGAAGCTTAGCGAAAGCAGTATCCATCGTTTATTTACGTTCATAAATCACTTACTTTTCTATCACGCAAAAAGAGAGGACCGATTTTTCAAATGCCGCAGTTATTTTATTTATTAATTCATTTTTAATACTAAACCCAGGGTAACGCGTAAGTCTTCTAATATTACCACTGAAATAACAAAATAAAATCAACTTTTCTTCACTTTAAGTCGTCTCAGCTCATAAAATGAAGTGACTGTCTCGGAATTTAGAGCAGAATCTGTTTTTTTACAATGAAGTTATCGAAAAGAGTATTCTTTGTTCAGTATCCATTCTTTTGAAAAATTTTTCACTATTCATTTTATTAAACAGACTTTCTTATAAAATCACTACGTCAACTAGCCTTAACTAGTTGTAGCAAAAAATTCAAAAACTGTACAACCGCAAACTATTCGGTCAATGGACTACTTTAAAAAAACCAATCCACTCTTGTCTTTAAATAACTACTGTAAAATGTGTTAACCAGTAAAACAAAATAAGTCAACAGATAACTCCGACAAGCAGTGTTTAGAAAGCAGACAAACACAACATCAAATAAAAAATGTATATAACTACTTAACAGCAAGTTATCGTAATTTATTCATTTTAGACAAAACCAGTATTAAATTTTGAGTAAACAGTTTTCATAACAATAAAAGGTGCAGCCCTCCTTGTCTCATTTCAACGACCCTTGAAGGTGCGAGGTGATATTCGTGAATTCACCGGCCTTTCTAACATCCTCCATTTAGCAGTTTGTTTTTATAGCTACTTGTAAGGGTTGTCCGTTTGGGTTCCTTTTGAAGCCGAAGTTACTGAGTGAATACTTAGACAAAAGTATCAAATGCAAGTATTTCTAAACTTGGGCTTATAAATCTTAATCACAATATTACTATTTACTACAGCAAATGAAATATGCTAATCATTCAAAATTACCTCCGAAAATAGGGTGTAACTTCATGCATATGCTTCACTTCAAGTTCGACAATTCGACCAGCGCGTTTAAGAGCACGAACTGCTTCGTCGTGTGTGCTGTTGCGAAGATCTTCACCATTCACTGATAATATTGCATCACCAACATTTAGCTGACCTGTTTGTTCTGCTGCCATTCCCTAAACGAAGTGACGAAAAATACACGGATAAAACAAGAAGAACATTCTAGTGCTTTACCACAAAAGAAAGATTATCAGATAATAGTCATAGATTAAACTGATTCCAGCCATCATGTGCATAATTTTCACGGACACAAGTGTACACATAGGTATAACTACAAATAGATAATCAGTGTGTTGATCACTTTAACAGAATGCAACCAAAATTCCATAGAATCTATTGTTTTAATTGTTACTGTCCTTTTATTGTTTTTAGTTAATAATACAAAACATTTGCCCAGTAATTCAAAAAAATCGTACATGTAGTGTGATGAAAGGCGATTGTTAGAACACGGTAATCTAATGAATTTCACTAAATTTGATTTACACCCGATTCTTATAATCATAACAAAGATGTTAGTGTACTAGTAAAGTATGGTTAGGTGAGAACCATACAATCATGTTACACAGAAAACAAAAAAGATTTCATTGTATTATATATTTAATATTTAAAGATAGTATAAATGTGATGATATCTTTCAAAATAGGTTAAATCTGACAGATCTGTTTTACTGCAAGGGGGAGGTCAACTGAAAGTGAAACAAAAACATGAGCCAGGTCTTCGTACAACTTCAAACGTCACCTCTTGAACTTGATTCCAGCTACAAACTGTCTTAAGGCTGTTCATTAATGAATACTTCATGGAATGACTGAATAGAAATGAAGTCCTTATGATATATTCGTTCAAAACATCACTGTCTGTCAGTAATTCAAAGTATGTACTCCACCTCATAATTTTTGTTTTTGATAGGATAGTTCTATTGTGAATATTGAATCAGTGTAAGGAACGCATAATCTCAACACATCTATTGAAACCTAAAAGCATTTTAAAGCTGTAACTAAATTATTAGCATAGACACACCTACAGAGAAAAAAATCACAGAAATTTATGTACAAGACTTAAACTACATTGATTTCCTGAAAGACGCAGATGCAAGTTCTGTTCCACTATTAAATGACCACTGAACCCACTTATTTAAACTTAGTTTTTGAACAATGGATAAAGTGGTCACTGTCTTGAATCCTTTTCTTAGCTTCTGTACAATCCAGGACCAGTTGAGAATAAAAACTCATTGAAACAGCGAGTTACAGAACACTTGACTCGTTGATTTTCTTTTCGTAAATCCAAACAAACACTTATATGTTCTCAAAGAACACTATGTATCCCCCTTTGAATCAGACAGTATAGGCAACTCAGGAATGCGAATTCAACCTTAAAATAGATCGTCAATTCCGAGTAGGATAGGGACGTCTATAATTTTTGGCATCAAAGCCAGTTAACAGTCGACAGTTATCGATCAAATCTGTCACACCAAGAAAAGAAACTTCCTAAAAGTAGAAAGTTTTAAATAATTTCTATAAAACATGGCATTTGAAGAAGTATACTATAGGACAGACAATCATTTCTCACTTTATCAGAACAAATTATATATATATATAATATATATATGCTTAAATTGCCTTGATTCCAAGTCCACATACGGGATACAAGTCAGCATATTTTAAAAGTATTTGAAAAATTACAATTAAAGCAGCTCGAATTAATGCACTCCAAAAGCAGAGCTAAGTGAAAAATCGGACAATTTTTTTCTTCAAATAAATTAGCTGGGTAACAGAAGAATCAAACACCAGGCCATTTTGGTCTACATTTGAAATCACGATGAAAAATCCACCCTTACTTCTGATTATATCTAAATGAAGTTTTTCGAAAATTCCCATCTGATCAGAAAACTCTTAACTCCCCATGTTATTTAGTGTAAATAGCCTATGTAAATGGGTTTTTCTTACAAGACAGTGGCTTGACCATGATAGTTTTAGGATTTTCACTAATGAAACCTGAACATACATGTGTACATATTTTTTAAATCAGTGAATATTTTTCAACATTGATGGTCTAGTTATCTAAGTTGCAAACATATGATGAAAATCAAAGTGGATTACAGCACAACTGTTAAACACTTCATGAATACTGTAAGCATAGAGTCAATTCCATATCAACACTCATTTGCTTACCTTGAATATTTTACTAATCAGAATCGGTGTTTTATTCTCACGACCACCCTTTATACTGATGCCTAAACCATTCAGCTCTTCTTTTGTTATCCGTACCACGCGTTTTGCTGTTGAAATGTCCTCATCTAAAAAATCAAAAAAATGATTAAAAAGAAGAATTACATACATCTCGTAAATATCTAAAGTCATGATGAACACAACCATAAATGAAAGTATCTTTTTTTTTCCTTCACGTTCCTCAGTGGAACATGGGGCTTCAAGCTAGTAGCTTGAAGTTTCTGTAGCAGTGTTTATTTTACAGGATGGGGTTGCTAGCCCCATGCCCAACCTTTCCTCTTTACCAGCATTATTTCTGGCTTAGCGAGGTAAATGAGTGCGTCGGCCGGGGATCGAAACCCGGACCATGTTCATGGTCGGCGAGCGTCCTAACCGCTATGCCACCGACGCACGAAAGTATCTTAACTAGAAGAAAAAGAATTATTTTCGGGTTAACGAAATAAAGGGTGTCTACAGTGTTTTAAGTGTGCACTAGTAATAATTGTAGTGAACAGGTAATATATGAAATTACAACATAATCCGGTGAACATCGAATAGACTCGTCAACTTTAACGAAAATCCTAAGGAATTGTACTTTCTATGCAACAATCAGGACCCATTCAATGCACTGATTTTTCATCTTTGGTTGTTGTCCATATGACAGTTGCATTGAATAAAAAAATGCAAACTCTGGAATAAAGAAACTTCTGAATTCGTCTTTTTCATAAACTTTTCTAACGTATATATTTATGCTAATTTCACTCACTTCTCATAAAAGATTTTCTAAAGCAGTAACAAAAAGTTTATTTATTTCCTGAAAATAAAACTTTCCTCAAGTATTACAGAAGTATCACACCCACATTCCTTATCGAGTCTTTTTTTAATATTCTACCCTGAGGAAAATAGGGAAAAATAAATCTGTCCTATTGGCCAATGGGCTGATTTCAGAGAACTAATTTCACCCTACATTTATTCGATAAACTCGAAGTACATGATCGCCAAATGTTTACAACCGATAAACTGTTCTCTCATGTTCTGCTATTTTTGATAAATTTTATTACTTTTGTTCACATTGTTAATATCAAACATTTCTTCCTAAATCACAGTGTTATACAGTATACTGTGTGATTTAGCACTGCTGACGAACAACTTTCTTTGTAACCGACTCTGCCAGGCGCAGTGATCACAGGTTCTCATCTAAACTAGGAAATTATAGCTAAATACAACTCTTCTAGAGAACCGACAAATTTTAAGTCAATTTTTCATCATGAATTAACCTCAGCAAGAGAACATTTAGAAACCGCGATTCTAGGTTCACTTCATGTTGAAGAAATGGAAGCCAGAAAAGGAATACTATTGTACGATTCACTTTGATTCTCATTGTCTTGCTAATTAATGTGAATTCGTGATGAAACGCACCCTGAAATAAATGTTTTTTCAATGTTTTTATCTTCACTTAAAGTATAACTAAATAAATATCTAACTAACACTTTTCTAATAGTTTAGAATAGCTCACATACTAAATGTAAATTTTTACTTTCTACAATAACTTTATTCACAAACTAACATACACGACACAGAAAACTAACCAGATATCCATCGACTAACTACCAGTTATCAGAGAATTTCAAATAAATAAAGCTCATGAAAAGAATGCAAGTAGGAATATGAAGGTAAGAAACAGCTGAAAATATATCAGTAATATGTTTAAGTAATTTGAGAGAGTAAATTGAACATGCGTAATACTCCAGTACAATAAAATTAACTTACACTAAACTGTCAGATTCACAAATGAGAAAGAATATAAATTCAATTAGGCCATTTTAAATATTTAACTTAAGTGGAAAACAAATAAGCCGACTAGAAGTCAGAACTCTTAGGTCATTGGATTTTAATCCAATGCTGAACGGCTGCAGCGCAGAAATTTTGAACGTCCTGGGTTCGATGTTTTGTGGGGTTATGGGTATCCCAAAGTATCATGAAAATGTTGTCCAATGCTCATAGTTTTCATTATTTCTCTAACTGAAGCTGGTTCATTACGAAACCTAACTTGAAATCAATCAAATCTCAATAGTCTGACACTCGGAAATGTGTTTAAATAAGACTTCTTGCAAGCTTTGGAGATAATTATGAATATGAAATGAAAATTTAACTTCGACTCTACACTGATTGCTATATTTAAAATCATTTAACTGTAAAATCCTTAATGAAAATATGCTCAGTAGACGAACAAGGAAGTGATAGAAAAATGATGTATGCAAGAGATTATGGATTCGCAAACAACCTGTAAATAGCCACAAAAATAATACCACAAATTGTGCTGGGTAATTCATCAACACAATGTTACTAATAAACGATTCTTGTCTAACACAGAAGAACTGAAATCTGGAAACAAATAAATAACTGGTATATTTCACCTATTTAGTCAATCTACATCATTGAATTTGATTCCTGCAACCAAAGTAAGTCGGTAGTATTTCCAGTGCTATAGAAAATGATAAAAATATCAGTTTTCTACACAATCAAAATGTATCCTTGACGATATTACAAGTCATAGCTTCTTTCAACATTTTTTAAGTTTCTGAATTGAAGGATACTCAGTTAAATCCAGCAATTTAGGGAACTATACACATGGACGGTTAGTTAATTCAACCACTTCTTAGATTTTTTTTCAAGCTGACTGGCGTTGTGCAGTTCTTTATTTCATATATTCAACTTTCAGTTAGTGACTCACAACTCTTCATCAGACTGAACAGTCGCAGCTAAATTTCAAATGTCAAATGTATGGGTAAAACTAAAATAATGATATTCTGTTTACTTTAGGTAATTAAGTTTATTGTGCCAAACCTCTACAAAATTTGTGCATTACGACAATGTAGCAGCCGTTCCATGTTGTCTGAATTCCACCCCACAGTAATCTCTTGAAGTTTACTTTCGGAAATCGATATAATTACAACACATGTGATGAACTTTTCTGTATTAGTGAATTCCTATAATTTTTTACTAATTTATACTCAGTTAAACGGTCATGACGTGAGTTCCGTCAATTTTTCGTGCTTGATTTGGTTTTTATTAGATATAAAACTTAGTTGAAAATGCAAGATCACCAGGTAAGAACAGAAATGTATCTACTACTTTTAAACAACTGTTGGACAAAGCACTCTGTGTAAGTGATATCATGCAGCTGGACATGCAATACTTAAATGACTGGTATAACAGTGGAATATATTCTCATACGTTGTAAAGAGTTATTATTTGTAGCTTAGTTAAAATGTGAACTGATTAAATGCAGTACATCCATTTCATCCGAAGACTGAAAAAGCATTTATTGGAAGAGCAAAGATAAAACACGGGAAAGGTCAAGAATATGCATTTTTAAGAATAAGATGAATGCCCAATTATCTATTTTTGTGACTTTTCAAGTATAGTAAAATCAGTTTGTGCAACAGCAACTGAAAACAATTGAAAATCCACTTTAGATAATACTTATTTTCTTCGCTCAAAATCTCAAGTACAGTTATATTTCAGTTCCATTTCGAATCTGCATTTATCATTTTTTCTCCTCTTGGTTATAGAGCACAGTTTTTTTTAGCTCCGTCAGTGAATATGTACAACTATTCTTCATTTAAGTAACAACGCACTAACCATAAAATCTGGAGTGTTTGCGTATCCTGCACGCAAGCGACTAAATACAGTTACTATCAGAACCTTCAGACTTTAAAATTAAAAAGCGAGTCTACACTGACATACAATTGCAAACCAATTACTCCAAATTTATTTATTATCATTTATTTCATTCATTTATGTCTTGCGTGGAACATAAAGGTTCGAGCTAAGGCTTTGAATTTTCGGTAGCAGTAGTTCCATTTTTACGGGGTGAGGTTACTAGCTTCGCGCCCAAACTTCCCTCTATACCGGCTTTGTGAAGTTTAGAAGTGCGCTGGCCGAGGATCGATTCCCGGACCACGTGCGTGGTTGGCAGGCGTTCTACAACCACGCTTCTTCTAAAACATCATACTAAAAATCAGATAACTAAAAAGACAATTTCAGTAGAGTACCATAAAGCTGCTATTGATATAAGCAACAGTTGTTCAATAAAAAACTAGCTCACCGTTATTAGTAGTAGAAATACTAGGACAGTGTTCTAACTCAATGATCAGAGCGTCATTCTTCAAGGTGGCTTTGATAGGTATCCATGTATTTCGAAGATATATTTCCAAATGTCCACTTATTACTAGACTATCTTGTGTAGACATTAGAAATGCAGTTTATAAAATGCATCTGATAGGGAGGGAAAGTGCGATAATGTTCCGACAGATCTGCAAGTAGATAATAAAAACATTTGTCCATGATAAAACATAAACTACCAATTGGTAGTGGCTTACACAGCGAAACGTTCAGAAAAATCTTGTTTTGATTTTCTTAACACGCTGGGATTAATTTAAATAATTTATAATGAATGTAATTGACAGTTTGAATGGGTTTTAAAAGTATTGTACATATGTACATTAGCACAAAATTTGAAAATATTCGCGAAATATCACGCGGGCAATTTACACCAGTAATTAATATCAATTTTCGATTTCCATCTCCAAAGTAATCCAGCTTTGCCGGTAATCTTCACTCAGATGTATGCTAAACGTTTGTTCCTCAGTATCTTCAACCGTATTGCTGTTATTAATCACTTGATGAAATTGGACGGCAAAATAACAAAACATGCTGTTGCACAGATGAATAACTTGTTAGTGGTAAGTGCCTTTATTTCGTTCCCCTCCATTAGGCTAATTGTTAAATGACTTTAGAGACCATGCAACTTAGCGATAGCCTACAGATTCTTACATCAACTGGTGAACCACACCCAAACATTGGTGAGTGGACCAAGAAAAGAACCTACTTCTCAATAATTAAATATTAGGCTCATGACTCAAAACATCGCATCTTTATCGAGGTAGACCTAGAATGTACACACTTCTGAATAAATTGAAGTTGGTGAAGGTGATTATTTACTACGATTACTGCTCCAAATGAAAAACAAAACTATCCTTCTTTTTTCGAATTCTTTTAATTAATTAAATATTTACTGCTGCTTGGATAGCTTCTTCGATAGGCGCTAAGACTACATACTTCTAATTATATATATGCTACCAATATGAGAATGTAATAATTGTAGTGGGTAACAGTAGTTATCTTAAGACAAAGTCGTAAATTTTGAATCGTTTGCAAGTTATATAATGATTGAAATTTAAACAAAACAATTCATGTGATAAACTGATACTCAATTAGCAGAGAAAAGCAGTCACGCGGAACGCAATAGCCCCTTTTTCTATTTTCTAACATACTATACCAGTTTACGTGCACCATAGGTCTCCCAACATATATTAATAATCCCTTCGCCTTTGGGTAAACCAGCTCTAACAGAACTCACCTGGTGGCATAATCAATTTACATCAAGGTTTTTCATTTCCATCAGCCAGACGAAATTAAATAACAAGGATAACAAATCTTCATTCCCTACCTTATAATAGTATTTTACGGAAAATTCAAACTACTAAAATGTAATGCTTTTATCTCTGAGCAAGCAAACGAAAGTAATTATTGTCTATTTCTATTCTATTGTCTATTGTCCTTTCTTCTCTTGTCGCATGCATCATAACATGATGTTAATTTCTCATTCCAAAACAAAGTTTATGTCATATGCAGCAGTCTACGAACATATTTCAGCCAGATTTTGGTTCTTCCAAGTACACACTTATAAATAAAACGAAGTAATTAGACTAAGTTCAATGTGATGGGTACTCAGTGTGTCAGACCTAGTAACAGCTTCGCGCTAAAATGATTACTCCATTCAAATTTGAAATAAATAAATAAATAAAAGAACTCTAAAGAAAGTGAAAAGCAGATTGATCATTTTCTAACACTAAAATCTGTTTGATGATTTGGGACATCTGAAAGAAAACTAAAATTGCTAAGCTCTATGCACTCAAAATGTGAATTCGTATTTTTTAATAAGGAATCCAGCATCTACACATATGTGAGTGGATTCGAAAATGGAGCCTGAAAGTTATAAAGGGTAGTGAATATTGTTCTCATAATAGTATTTTCATAAGGGCACACTCTTGATGATAAGTGAAGATCTACGTAGGTTCCGTTGCTATACCTCCTAAAGTATATCACTACTGAATAATCAGCTTCATATGAAGCCTTGCTTAACCATGCTCAGGGTATCACCACTATTAATATTCGTAAGAAGATTTGAAGGATGCAATATTACTTCCTCAAATAAGCTGATAAGGTCGGTTTTCGGCACTGTTACTAGCAGCAAGTTGACTGGATGGTCAAAACGCTCCTCAATGCATATTTGTTGGAATGGACGACCTATCGATATTAGCCGAGTTATGCATGCAGTGATATATATATATATATATACCAAGTTTTTGTAATTAAGATACATTATAAAATGTGTTTTAATTCTTGCGGGGAAATGGACTTTCAAGATACGATCGCACATCTTTCCAGTAAAATAGTCATATTAACACTTCATCCCAACAAAGTAATGAAATTTTATAGATTCTTACAGCATATATGCCTTTCCAATGTTAAGATCTGAAAATGTTTTCTAGGAGTGAACTCACTGAAATTTCACCCATGAGAACTTTTGAAACTTTTCCTAAGAAAAAACCACGGCTCTATCGAAATAGTATATATATGTTATCTTCCTATGATGAAACCACATTTCAAAATTTATTCACTCGTTTGCACCAAAGTCAGTAATATGCTTTTCCGTTAAAAAATACTTGCGAAAGAAACCATATAAATATCATATGAAGACTACAGAGGTTTAAGGAAGTGAGCAGTGAGAGAAAAATTATAGGTTGTAGCGAAATTCAAAAGATGAAAAATGGATATATCAGTAGAAAAAATTATAGACAGCTGTCATTTTCGATCACTGAAATAAAGATCAGTGTATCGTGAATAAAAACAGAAGTGTAAGCCAAAATAGGTATTTTCTTCATAAGTTTCGAGTCTTAGCCAGTCCATAATTCAAGTTATATGAGCAACTTACGTGAGTTACACACACTCTGAGTATGCCATTATATATTTGAATGTGGATACCAATGACAAAAAAGAGAAACTAAGTAAAAGAGCCTCTCTAACAAGCATAAATTTTTTGAGAGATGACAAATAGAAAAAAACTTGAATACACACATAAGGAATCAACTGTGAAGGTTTTGAAATGAGCAATGGTTGGAAGTATGAACCGCTTAGTAAGCTTAAACAATAAATTATTATAAACCAAAACAATAAGAGTATAGTACGTAAGAACCCAAACCACGTTCCAATTACATTGTCACTTGAAATTTATGCTAAGCTTAAGCCTTGCACCTAAATGATCTCAGAATATTGTTTCGACTTCAGTGACATTAAAGGGCCCCGTAGAACTCTGAAAAGCCAAGTGTACTGCAATTAGTACACGCTCTCACGTCTCTGCGTTACATTACTTCTTCTTGACAAACTTAATTCTAACAATCTATTTATCACTTGAGTGCATGTCTTTTTCCTGAACCAAGTGAACCTACAAACTTGTGGTTAATATACGCACATATAAAATCCTGTGGACATATGCCACAATGCTATAAGCCGGTGAATTCCCATTCATGTTGAATATCATGGCATGTTGAGCCTAATTTTCATACCTTAAATTCTATTAAATGCTAGGAGCTACTGTTGAGAAAGTACCTCCTCACCGTCTGTGATATGCCTAATAACTGCACCCTCATATTACATGCAGTTTCGTGAGTCAGGTGTCTACTCTAAGCTTTCCCCGTTAAACACCGAGGTTCCTCACTGAAAAATCTTCATCTTCTCTGTGGTTACTGTTTAGCTTCTAGTAGATTCCATTTAAATTCGATTTCTGATTTATTGATTGTTAATGTAAGTGTAGAAATTGGGCAGTGTAGTAGAATTTAGCTCCATATTAAGTAACTCTATTCGAAATAACTACGGTGATGCAGTATTATTAACTGGATGACGATTCAAGCACAGAACTATTGCTCAGTTCAGCCAAACGGCTTCATAATTTGACTTATATATATATGTTGTAACCGTAGCTGAATTAAATGAGGACGTTGTCGCCTTGTTCTGTCTGCGCCTGACTAATATGCCTATCTGCTTCTGGTACCTTCCGATTCAGCGAACCACGCAAATATCAAAAGACAAAAGTCTGGTCTGTGACTGTGTATTGTAGTACAACAACTACGACAAACTACGACAACAAAGAAACTTATTTAGGAAATGGTATTTATACATTTTTACAACAATACAGACAGCTAACAGTATTTGAAATAATTGGTCATAATAGTCAATAACCAAAATGCGTGGGAAATGATGATATACCACTTATGAGAGATTAACAGTCGTTAAGATAATTTAACAATAACAAAATATGTGGGATCCTATCAATTTATATATAGCGCCCATTTTCTCTCCTCCCCTTTTTGTTTGTCGCCACGTTCCATATCTTCAGTATGGGGCTGCATGGCTTCCATTGTATGTGTGCAGTGCTGAGTCAATAACTTAGGAGTCAGCGAATAACCTCTCTCAACCTAACTTTAATACTTATTAATATCTTCACACCGTCAAACCTTAATATGTGATTATATGCAAGTGAATACAAGCAGCTGTTGAGTCAGCTCAGAGTGTCACCCTTTTCTGAGGCCCATAATTAGGACGATCGGCGTATGTGATCATGAAAAATGAATACCGTTAATTCTAGTTGACACTAAACCGTTAATAAGTTTCGATTAACTGACGTGCCTAGAGCCTAAGTCGCAAAACAGTGAGCAGGAATCATTATGTAGCTATCAATTTATCACTACTAAAACTAGCTACCAATAAGTAAGCGAATTACTATTATTCTCCTAAGCGTAGTAGCAAATCGTTTATCATACATATTACTGTATTCTTTAATTCCCGAAAGAACACAGGACTTCAGACGCACGTCTCCATTGCATTCGGTTCTCTGCCAATGTTTTCACCTGGCTCCACGTCTGCACACAGGCTTTCATCTCTTCTTCATATGACCTCTCCCATGGCACCCCCGCACTGACGACCAACTCGCCGCTTCCCGTTCGGGTTCCACTCGAGTGATGCCCTGTCGTGTGACGTCACTTGATTGTTTCCTAAGAGTATGGCCAATCCAACTCTATTTCTTCCTGCATATTTATTGCACAATCGGTTCCTGGTTGGTTCGCTCCCAAAGATCCCTGTTGCTGATCTTTTCTGGCCATCTGATCTTGAGTATTAAGCGAAGACAGCTGCTGATGAAGGTTTGTTCTTTGTTCAAAGTGCCGTTCGTGACGCGCAATGCAAGTCTCTGATCCATTCATATTAAAGTTGAAAATCCGGATCTTATTTTTGATGCTGAGTGCTGTTGACCTCCACACAGACTTGAGAGTAGTGAAAGCTTTCCTGATCCTTGTTTTGATATCCTCATCAGTTCCGCTTGTAAATGAAACGATGCTTCCCAGTTAGGTTATGGAGGTTGCTTCTTACAAATTTCTCCCATTTATGCTGATTGTTATCTGTTGTTGTTAGCCTGGAATCTTCAACACCTCTGTTCTTCCTACGTTTACCTGAAGTCCTATCTTTGATGCTTCTTTTTTCAACTTGTCACTTTTCACTTGCATATCTTCCAGTGTGTCGGAAATCAGAAATATATCATCGGCGAAGTCCTCCAAGCTTTTTGTGTGAGTCCATTTTATGCCTTTTTCCTCATTGCCCACTGTTTGTCGCATTATCCAGTCTACGGCAATCAGGAAAATCATTGGCGATAGTAGATAGCCAGCCAGCCTTGTCTTACTCCTGTCCTCACTTCGACGGATTCCGTAAGTTTCCCGTTGTGGATTACTTGGCATGCAGCATTGTCGTACAACTGTCGGGTGAGATGCATAACTGATGGCGCCACCCTGTAGTAGCGAAGTAGTTTCCAAGTCACCTCTCGATCGACTCTGTCGAAGGTCTTTTCAAAGTCGATGAAGTTGAGATAGAGAGGTGACTGCCATTCCAGGCTTTGTTCAATGATGATCAGTTGTGCTGCGATGTGGTCGATGCATGACTTGTTGGAGGCACAGTTTACTGGACCCATAATAAAAAGAGGAGCATACATTGGCTCAGACAACCATCTTGTGCAAAGAACACTCTAAATCACATTATAGTCCAACCTGTATGGAAAATCTAAGCAGAGAGAAAAGACAGGAAAAACAGTGGCTCACTGGGGACACATGGGGACTATTGGAAGAGAGAAGAATGTTGAAACAAAAGATGATCCAGTGCATTGACCAGCAACGAAATCAGGAGTCGAATGCAGGCTACAATACACTGAACAAAAGAGTAAAGAAAAGTGCCAATAAGGACAAAAGAAAGTCAGTGAACTGTTCTCCGTTTTCATTCATCTCTCTCGAAGAGCTTCCCCACCCATAATCAGTTCTCATCCTGTGTTGTCTGATCCCAGTTTGGCCTTCATTTCTCTTATTTGTAATTTAATTTCACTGACTGGAGTATTGTCCACTGTTGCCTGTAGCTGCGTGTACAACTCTTCTTTCTTCTCTGTCTGCATTGTTTGTGGGCGCTTAGCACTGCATAATTGTCACTTTACTTCCTTTTGAGTTGAGTCTGGCGGTTATTATCCTGGGCGAGATCACCTCCCATTGTATGAGAGCCTTGGTTGCCGTTGGTGACATCGTAACAGCCACACTCTCTGTGTGCTAGTGGTTGTATTCTGGGTGACTAAGGTAGATCACTGGCTCTCCCGTTGACAATTCGGTGAGTTCACTCCCATTCCCTATGCTTTCTCATATTCCTAGTACTTGAATACCATATCTTCTCATCTCATTTGCAGTCTGGACAGCTTTGCCAGTCTCATACATGGTGCGGACTTTCCATGTCCCCACACGGACTTTTTTTGCCACAAGGAGGCTCATTGTACTGCAGTTTCTGTAGCAACTTTGTTTACTGGGTGGGGTTGCTAGCCACATGGATGGGAAGTGGATTGTTGCATGAATACATAGTTTACAGAGGGGCGACTTTTTGGGTTGCTCCCCTTAGAATCAGGAATACAAGGAATACAGCGATCAGAACGACACCAGCAAAAGAAAAAAATTCACAACAGGAAGGGCAGCGACAACGACAACAAAAAACGTAACAGTAGTATCACTGTGAAATACAGTTAACAAAAATGATACCAAAACCGAAGACTCACTGACTTGGGTCAACTTGCGTATGCAAATCCAGCAATATACACAATTATAGATATTAGTTAGTGTTAAACAGTCACAAAATTCCAAACATTTAGTTATAGTAATTATCAGTCAACAAGATTATACCCACAGAATGAGAGTTCGAAGGTGAACTAATTACAATAAATTCCACAACTTCCTGGCCAGAAATATCAGAGAAATGAGGAATTTAGGTAACTAAGCAAACGTAGCGCACTAATCGAAGCTGATTACCTACAATCTGATATAATCCAAACATTGTTAATCTGACCACCGTAATCGTGCAATCACCTCGAATTTTTCATGTGTCCTGTGGACTTATGTTGCACGCTTGGGTGATTTGTAATGCTCCAAGAAATAGTAGAATCTGCGTGATTACCAATATGGTCACATTAAGTCCACAATAGTGGAATCAGATAAGATGACATTTATGTATTTTCAGCAGCTATTCGTCACAGAGCAGTATTTATTTTTGCAGAATGTGATGTCTGGTAGAGGCACAGTTGAATATTAGGCAGTGAAACAAAGATGAAAATCGTGGGCGGCATATTGGTTTATTCAGCACATTATATGTATTCAACTGTCTGTCGTTTGTATTGTTTGCAATTGGATGAGGTCAGTGTTGGGAATTACTTTAGTCAGCATAACACTACGACAGTGTTATCGCTGACCCCACAGCTGTAATAAAGGAATAGTTTTGTACGTGCACTTTGTTATGATGCTAGATCCTTTGTCACGCGGTCACTGCTTAACTACTGACCACTGCCCACTTAACTGGTAAAGCACAACACGAAGAGAATCAACGGTAAAAACAGGTTCATTTATCATAACAAAAGTGACTGTATTTATACAGAAAATAAGGTAGACTGGAAATCAACCAATCCGGTTGGGAGTTTGAATAGTGCAAGCGTCCAATCAGAAGCAGGAACAATTGCATGCCAACGACTTGTTAATAACGCGATAATAACTTGACTGATGACCTGATAATTGCATGTGTTTTGCCTCTTCCTAACACACTTGTTCGAAGATGTTTAAGTAGGTGCAATAACGAAAAAAGGTAGAATGAATAGGACAGTGCAGCCCAGGGCTGAGGGGAAGATTGATACCCGAAGGTGTTATAATGGATTCGTGGAGAATGAGGTCGGCTGAATATCTGGAATATTTCACTACCTGGACGATAGGAGATGCTGCAGAATAACGGCTATGAAAATGAAGATTTGTTGATCTGTGTAGTTCCTACGATATATATCATCTAGTAAATATTTATGTTACACTGTGTGATCTATGCAGTAAACAAACATTATCTAACTTGCATTTTCCTTTCCGGTAGATAGAAACTCCTGACAATAAGCCGCCATAAAGGACTATGCTGCTGTGATGAACCCGCTTCCCCACCTAGTGGTTAACACATGGGACCAACTGTTAGAACCAGTTGTGCCAATTAGCTCACTCAGCTAGTTCAATAAGAAACTAGACAAGCAAACACTTTTTTGACGGGGTTAAACGTATTTTAGACGAATTCCTACGCCATTAGAAAATCAGATGTGGATCTGAATGCATTTCATGAAGAAAATATTGGGTACTTGTTGTTTTGCACTAAGTGTCCTTGAGGTGACCGATTGAAGTTACCCGCTAAGTTAGATTTTTAGCCATGTCAAACAGAACTGCACTGTTTGGGAGGCCCCAGCAATCACAAACTAGACATTTACTGCAATTTAAGGCAGGAAAAATGACATTAGGAGATGATAATTGGGTTCATGCAGACCCTCGCAAAGGGTGGGTGTACGTTTATCAATCAGGAGACGGGAAACTTCACTTTTGTTGGATTGATCGTAAAACATGTCTTGTTGAAGATGTAGGTACTTTTCCAGTCAGTGTAAACCTTGAATCTAGAATTTTGTCATTAATGCAAAGCAGGCCGAATTCAAGAAGATTCCCCAATGTACGACTGGGCGGGTTTACCTACTGAAGTTCAAAGGTCCCAAACATTTCTTCATATGGATGCAAGTAAGCTGAATTCTCCTTATTATTACTAAAGGAACCTAATGGTAAAAATGACAACGACATATGTTCTAGGATAAATGACTATATAAGATGTCCACCTGCTCATACGGGCGCGCTGTCAAGTACGTGTGACTGGCTAAGTCGTCTTGAAGGTCTCAATCAACTTTCTCACACTGACCTTTTGACTCTTTTATGTAAATTCTGATAATACCACTAATAAATTGTTTAGCAATGGGAGTAGGTCTCGGGAGTGGGCTGTCGTCGGAATCAGATGTGTAAGTTTCCTGAATCTTTCATTTAGTGTCAGTATTGCTTTTTTTGTCAACTATATCCAAATTATTAGTAGTTTTTTGAAGAATGCGACACAACTCACCTAAGTCAGGTGATTGGCTCAACATATAAGTCGATTATTAACCACTCGTATATTACCAAGCTTCAAAACAAGAACCGCGAATGTCAACATAATGCTTTGTAAAAGAATGTCATGGAGAAATCTATGGGGTTCTGTTAATTACAGTTTACTAATCTAATGGGTGCTATTCACAAAATTCCTGAACCATAGAAGCATCCAAATTAAAGGACTGTTCGTACATTGTCTTCTGCACAGTCAGTCGAATCTATGTTGAATAACACTTGAAAAAGATTGTGAGAATCAGTTAATCTCACCGTTTTTGTTACAGTAAATGTAGCAATAAATATTTCAGTGACCTCAATAGTAGTATTAGGATAGCGTAAGTCGAAATGTCATTAAGTTTGCAGTACGATAATCTTGTAGGATGATCAAAATCATGTACTCATGTAAGAGCATAATCAGTGGACATTGGTGGAAATGTCACTATGAATGCTACTACACAATTTCGAAACCACTTCATTTGGACTTTAGCTATAACAGTTCCGGATTTTTAACAAAAACTACTGGAAAGGCTGTGATCTAATTACAACCTTATCTATGTATCCTGATAAGCCTGAATAAGGTTTTCGGAGACCTGGGGATTTCAGTAGTTTTAGTACTACTTCTATATCAGTCTGTACATCCAGTTATCCCTAATATAGCGAAGAGGGAAACTCTTGTAACTGTATCTGATGTTCCTGATTTCTGAATCATTTGACACTTGTTTTGCGGTTAGGAACGATGAATATGTGCAGACAAGCCTAGCTTGAAGCATGAAGAAGGTTTGGTGAATTCCATCTCCCTTTGAAGGATCCTCTAAATGACCACTTTGATTCATTTAGACAAAAATTCGGAATATTTTGGATACCAATTAAATTCGTCAAACAGCAACAAAAAGAAATATTAGTTTGGAAATAAAATGTGTATCACATAAGCATACTAACCAATACATTTATATCAGCGTCCAATAATTCTTATGACTTTCAGCTGCAGCATATTCACCACAGACGTTAATCGTCAGTCATATCTAGTCTCCAAACAGTATGGTGCATTATTTTTGTTGTTCAAATCCAGCACAATCAATCTTCGTTTCACAGTACCACACTTTAGACTTACCACTCCTCATATCTCACCCGATCGGAAAATGCTAAATAATAAAACTCATTGGATAGGCTATAATGACACATACGTTCAACCGAGGCTAATGTCCGGGTGAAGTTAAATATTAAAAGATGACTTGTTCTGTCAGATATTCACCTAATGCAAGCATTATTTGAATGCATACAGTAGTCATGCATGCATAGTGCAAGCCTGAATGCAACGTTGTGCCGTAAGCCTTTCCTTTGCCGTCCACTTGAGTGTCGAGATGGCTTTAGTAATCCGTTACTTTATTTCGTTTTTGATGTGAAGTAGACAATCTCATACTTCCCGTCAAAATTAGTAACTAAGGTAGGCGCTTTTCGGTTACTTGCACCGAATCATTTGCGCATGCAAAAGCTCCGTAGTAGTGTTCTGTAGTAGGAAAGATGCCTCTCTGATGATTTACGAAGTATCAAATCATAAATACACTTTATATTTAAATTCTGCAATAGACTCTCACTCGGGACGCTTGCATATAATGAAGGACTTTACAGTCTTGATATCTCCGTATTCAACTGGTACTAAATGTCTCCATAGGCGACTCAGCATTGATCTTTTGTTTTCTAGGTTACAAATAAATTACCCTGTTTGAGTGTAGGTAATAATTGCGATAATTGGTTAGTATTCAATGTTCTGGATGATGATTTTCGTCTTTATTCGTTTATATCGATAAATCATTCTGCAATAGAGATTAAATTAGTGGGTTGTGGAACATCTAAATCTCGTTGGTAAGCGATGAGTATTGGAGTGTCTGTGCCTGCAAGCCATAATTCCACCACCTCTCCCTGCGGGGTTAAGAAATGTAACAACAGACTGATATATTTCTGCTCAACATCTGGGGTATCTTTTTGTCACCACTAGGTTACAACTGTACATTAATTATTAAAACATGAACAATCTGTAAACCGTCACAAGTAAAGCTGCAGCTTGTGTTTAGGCATCTGAGTTTCGCATAGCAAGTCTCGGGCTCTAAACTTGCTTCATTTTTGTCCTGTGAAACCGTTGTCCACCATCACCCAAATCGCACAAGACTAGTGTGCTATTTCCGGTAAATGTTTAGTTGAGCAGTAGTATAATGTGATTGCTGACCTTTTATTTGATAATTTTCAAAAATATGATGGGACTTTTAATTCAACAATTTTCTTTCCTTACAGACTGGAATAGTCAATGAGAGTAGTCTTACATATTTTCATAATTCTCTAATTGAATACTGGAATTTCATCTATTATAGTGCTCACTTTGAATTTTAAGTCAGCAGAGGAATTGCTTAAGTTTTATAGCGTATATATCGAAAACCCGCGAGCTTTTGGGCTGAAATTCTTAGACACACATCGCGTACACATAATATAATATATTTTTCTTTTTAGATCTTCTGCTCAAGCGACTGCAGTAACTATTGGACGTCATCTAAATACAGAAAATTTAGATGATTCTAATGTACCTATTTCGCTTCTGGAGGCTGCTGCTGCTACTACCATACCGTCCTCAGTAGTCCCATCTACTAGCAGTAACTCTCCACGTCCAAATGTAAGTTCTTTCTAGAATGTATTTTCTTAGTTGCTTCGAAATAACTTATTTGATAGTTGCCAGCTTAGAATGAAAGATGGTTGTCATGTGACGTGTTACATCATGGAAAAGAAATCGTACTTGTGTCGTTTCTAAGGCAGGGTGTCATAAAGGATACTATTAGTTCTTCTAATAACTTGTTGATACAGCACCAGTTTTCAAAAACTAGTGAAATATAAACATGTGTAATGAATATGTAGACTATGTAGCCCAGATATTAAAACTAAAGTGTATACTATTTCGGCATGTGCTTAGTTTGACATCATAGACCCTGACATAGTAAGTATGCCAAATTATTTAGTTGAACTAGCTATTAAAATAAAAAGGGATTTTTTTTAAATATTACTTATTGCCATATAAACTGTTCTGACATTGTCTTTCGGTACTTTTCTTTTTTTTAAAAGGTTACAACTGATAAACCACCTGAAGCTGGGAAAATACAACTTCAAGATTTAAGAAATATTCTTTCATCAATTTCCACTGCGATCCGAAATCCATGTATGTATTTGTTTGACTTTTAGTTGTCTAAGGAATTATTGGGAATTTGTTAATGTAAATTAAACTACTTCACACCATTATGTAGCAAGTGATTTTATAAAGTAGTGTTTACACCCTCTCAATATGCGTAGCACTTTCACCTCATTTTCAGCATCGACTTCCCTTACATTCGGCTAAGATTGAACTATTAGATTACTTCGTTAATTTACTTTAGTGTTATTTCTTTAAAATAAAATTATAGTCCATTATTTATGGTAAACGAAGTATCATGTGAAGCTTAAGTGTTTTACGACATATTGTTCATTGGTATATAAAGGGAAACTGTAACGTCATCAATGTGGTATCAATAAAAATACATTTATAAAAAATGTGTCTCTCGTGATCTGTTACACAAAATCAGTTACTTTGGAGAAGCAGTGTTTTTTAAGTGAAATACTTTCAAATTTGTGGTTAAATTACTGTGAACAAAGTGCGATAAGCACTACCTTACCTTCCCTGGTACATTCATAACTTAGTGTATATAAGTGTAATGATTGATGAGATGAATTTGCATCTAAAAGGGGCATGTTGATTTTTCCCCTCACCAATTACAAGTTAATATAAGTTTGGTCGATCACTGTAGTTCAGTTGCATACAAAACTATAATTCCTATCTTCATAACTGCTAATACAGTGCTTTATAAAGTTCAGTATAAGTGGACGTTAGGCTTTATTTGACGTATGTCTTTTGTTTATCTGTACGTTTTAGCCAAATACCATTTGATTATCTTGCAAATTGGTGGTATATCTTTTAAATAGATACCCTTTTTTGTCATCTTTTATACAATGTTCAAGGAAAACATGCAACCTAAACGATAAACATCAACTGCATCTCGTTAGCTTTTGTATGTCATCTTCTAGGTAGTCAATAGCATAAATGAAAATTGTTTACGTAGCAAATCATATATGTAGACTACAAAATATCCTCTCTATTTATTACAGCTAATGAGCCAAAAATCGAATTAAGTGATGTTTTGAACGTGGACAGTTTGCAAAGTCTTTTAAACAAACCAGATGTTCGAGAAAGATTATTACCTCATCTCCCCCCTTTGGACCCCGAATCCTCATGTACAAATGATTTGGAAAACTTAACCACAAACATACAATCGTCTCAGTTTAAGGCCACTTTGAAAGTAAGCTACTCTTTTGTTATTTGTTTGTACTGTATTTTTACTTGATTATAAATTTGTCTTTCTCTTTTGTTCACTGCAAATCGCTAAATAGCATGTGAAACTTCAGGAAACGTAAGCAGTGTCAGACTGAACCAATAAAGTATGATTCAAAGTATGTTGCACACCCTACTAAATAATCTATTCCCGTGTTCAGCTTGTGTTTAGCGTCAGACATATATCAAAGGTCTCCGACGGGAAAGTTCTGAGTAAAATAAAATTTCATGGTGAAAATTGATGCGAGTTCGTGGCCTGAATGCAGAACAAGCATCTTACTAGTATCAAAGGGTCGTCTTGTGTACTACTGATTTTATTTAAAGTAATAAGCAAGTGAATGTGAAGGTAATGTCGGAAAATACAGTTATAATCATAAAAAACTGAATTTTTCTGAAAATTCAAATGCAAATGATGTATTTAGATTACTTCTTCTTAAACATGTGAGTAGATATTGCATTAACTTTATGTACGTTGGAAGACAAAGTTGTCTAACAAAGTTCTTTTAGTGGAGTTGCATTTGAAGGTCTAGAGGGCAAAATAGAATGCAAAACTGTAATACGACTTCCCCTGTTGAGTGAAAAGGCTCCACATATATATACTGGCTGTTAAACAACTCAATGTGCTGCTGCATCCTTTGCATTCTATAGTACATGTTTCTGAAAATTCCTTTTGACCTCTGAGTAATATTACGAATTATTAGGGAATTTGACACTGGTCCCTTATCACTGTTGCACTCTGATAATCAGAGTAAATATAAAGTACTTTTATTCTAATAATTTTTTATCGCACGTACTCAGTCATTCCGTTGTATCATGTGTTCTTGCCAAAGTTGTTTTTTATGAGTATATCCAATTTACTTGAAACTTTATTTTTCTATAATAGTCCTTCTCAACAGCTTTTCGGAGTGGTAAACTAGCTCCAGTTTTGGCCCAATTCAATTTAGGTGTGAAAGCTGATGAGGCTTCAAGACGTGGTGGTAAGTCTAAACGTGATTTTTCTGTTTAGTTGATTTTTTGGTTGCCATTATGGTCAACTGGGAACTAATTCATATTTATAGCTGCGCGTATTCTTTAGTTGGTATGTAGGTTCACACTTTTCGGATTATTGAGTAGCGGAATTAATTCTTATTTTGATTGTAAGTGTGGCAGACTACATCAACCTGATCCTCCTTCGCACCTATCCACGAAGTCTTTGACTTCTGGTTTGTATCATTTAAGGGGGGTGGTGACTGTGTAGAGTTTCTAGTTGATGTTTTGATGACGTTAAGTATTGGTTGTTGGAGATGTATTCGCTGCTTATGATCTAATTACTCTGCTTCCCGTCCACCATGGTTTGGGTACGTTTTTCCTCCACTTTTTGCGCTTTTTCTGAAGTATGACAAATTGGAGTGCTATACTTCTGTGCAAAGTTCTATTTTGAAACTCTGTCAGTCTGTAAAGTTTGATTGTGTCTCGCTTTCGTGAACAGAACTCTGTCGTACTTTTTTAAAGTGTTGGATTGCCGCTTGTGTTTAGTATCCGTTTCAGTGTGATGCAATAACATCGGAAAGATATTAAATTTTTTGACGGATAGTTTAACTACACAGAAGACTGTACTACAGTAAATATTATTTCAGAGCAGTATCTTTAATCTAGGTTTTCGTGTAACACTAAAAAACATTTTGCCTAATGTAGATGTTTGGGCGACAAGCGCTAGGTTTGACTTTTGTGGCATAAGTTTATCAAATTATCTTGTTTTAAACACTGGGATAGCGCGGGAAAAAATTTGGAACTGGTAATTAATCCCAGTCATAAAAAACATTTAAAAAAGTCAAATGGGACTATTTTACACCAATAGACATAATAATTTGATGGAAAGAAGACAGGTTTTATCTGACATTTCAACATTCCGGAAAAAGATAGATTCAGTATCGGAAGTATGCAGAATAAATGGTTTCTTAAACCTTATAAATAAGAGGCAAGTGTTTGCGTTATGGATTTCTACAATTTTGGGAGGCTGTAAGTGGATCATGGCGTCGGTGGCATAGCGATTAAGACACTCGCCGACCATGCACATGGTCCGGGGTTCGGACCCCGGCCGACGCACTCCTTTACCTCGCCTAACCAGAAATAATGCTGGTGAAGAGGAAAGGTTGGGCATGGGGCTAGCAACCCCATCCTGTAAAATAAACACTGCTACAGAAACTTCAAGCCACTAGCTTGAGGCCCTATGTTCCACTGGGGAACGTGAAGGATAAAAAAGGGATCATGTGGCTTGTTGATTCCTTTCTTCCAGTTACATTTGTCAGTAAATCTGCTTTTGTGTAAAGTATATATTTTGATATAAAAATTAATTTTTACTGACAATTTTAGATTTGATTGCATTTTCGAATGCATTACAAGAAACATCTGCGGTAACAATCCAATCCCAGGATGGTAATAACACTGTAACTGCTGAAAATACAATTCAGGGTGTATCACCTCATGAGGCGTCCAATGAAAAAGCAGAAAAAGAAGAGCAAACATCTACAGTTTCCGAAGACAAAAAGGATGAAATTCTTGATGACGACAAGATGGACACAGACTAATTGGTGTCAAGGCTGTAATAACTGAAATCTTATTTTATATACCCGTGGCACTGCATTAGACCAACTGCTTATGGTTTTCCGAAACTATATATATATAATGGATAAAATTTTCTGACGTGTAGATCTTTGAATGTCAATTTATAAGGCCTTATCAGTGTCAGATATGCTTTCCATTTTGTGTTTTTATGCATATCGTAAGCATTCTCATATCATCTTCCCTTTCCACTTTTGACCTTTTCATTTTAATATATAGAAAATGAAACGGGATATTTTCACTGTCTAGTTTTTATTTTTCTGATGACATTTACCATAGAGTGTATGCAGTAGCTTACTACTTTATTTTCAAACTAATACATGTTAATTTTAGTTGAAGATGAAGATGAAACATGTCAAATAACCACTACTCATATTTATAACTTGCATGTGTTCATTTCTAACCAACAACGTATTCGTGATGCTTGGCTAGAGTGTTATCTAACAGACCAAACGGTTATTTCTTTGGAAGATAAGTCTTCAATTAACACTGCAGTTTGTTTGCAAAATAATTTTAATGCGCTTTATAAGACTGAGGGGATTATTTCCTTTAATGAAATCAAGGTCATCGAATTCGTACAGGCATAAATCTAAGGGGTGATTATACCAGCAGCGGTGCTCATTATTCACTGAGACTATGAGAGAAATGAAATGACTTGCGTTTACACTCTGAGCTATACTTGTTGTGAAGATTAATAGTACTGCCTAGCACATGTCGTTGTACAATTCCTTTACTTAAAAATCACTATTGCGTTGATACTGCGTGACATCTAGCCACGATCACTTTGGGACGGGTATGTCACATCAATGAGATTTTCCTTACGTCAGAACATATTTTGCGTTGTACTCAGAATAGTATCCACTCAATTTGATATTATGTTTTGATTCTAAGGGTTATACCAGAAATTTTGAAGGAATAAGATTGTCCTTCATTTCGGGAAAGCTCGCATAGCACAGCTAGAAACCTAAGTCTCCTGAATCGATATCAAGAAGAACAGCATATGAACCTGTTAAGTATCTGCATTCTAACTCCACTTCATTCAATACACGAACGATGGCTTTCAATATAGTTCTTCAGCATGACAATCGTATCTCATGTTGGCATTACTCTTGCCGTGTAATTTTTCCGCCTTTGTTCATTTAATCCTCTATAGAAATCTAGTTTAATTAAGATATTAGGAGGATTGACTGTCGTACTGGACGTTATCTTGGTCTCAACTAGTCACACTACTTGACCTAATTCCGACTGATAGTCGTTTGGGCGGGAGGTTTAGTTAAAACCATCACCTTTGCCTGCAGCCCACTAGATTAGTATCCGAATGAGTTGAGTCTCTGACTGGATGTATTTATGAATGCGCTAGATACTGAAGTTGTAGTTAGGGAATCAGCTTCACACAGCCAATGTCTAGGCTCAAATAATCTGTTGCGTAACCGAATGTGACTAAGTAGTAATCCCAGCTGCTCTGCTGAAACTAAGTCTTATTTACAGCTGACACCATTTTCTTACGACATGCCTATTGTATTTACCATCAGCCTTCATTTATTCAAATATGGCTTACTACAATGAGCTAATGATGCAATTAGTGTACACAGGAGTTCAGACTGCTTCCATTATTTTGTATGCTTCTTTTATATAATGGTATTTTTTTATTAGTCATCACCCTACACAGCTTGATAACAGTGGACTGATTACATGTATCTTTATTCATAAATAGTAAACTTGCCTAAAATTTAGGCTTGTATTTACTGCACTTGTGATGCTTCCTCATGATGGCTAGTGTAACCATTCCCACATTCTCATTATTAAGCTCTAGCCACGTGCGAGCTTGTTGACATCCATTAATTTCATCTTGTGGATAGTAATACTATTAGGTATCTGTATTCATACAAGAAATGATGATGAATACAAGTAAGCAACTTGGTGAAGCACTTAAACGTGCAATCTAAGTGAATTATTGCTTTGTTCTCGACATGATGTTCCGTATTCGGTTGACACTGACTCATTCAACGAAACGAGACTCCAGACATTTTTTAATTACCGTTGGTGAAGAAAGTATAGCTAAGTTGAACGTTTCATCTTTTCGAAAGAACCTACATAATGTGTGTTATAAACACGGTGTTACCATTCGTCGCTGTTGCGTAACCGTTTAAGATCCGAGGAAAACTAGTATGGGGTATTCTGCAGTTCCATTAAGTCTCATAACGTATTCACCCTCTTTTGATCCCAGTAGATAGTCGTATGTTCGCTGTCCATCTGAACGGGTCCGTTAAAAGAAGGAAAGACGGCGCTACCCGTCGTTGCCTTTTCGTAGTCTCCGCTTACGCTTCAACAGATTGCAGTTCGGATGAATTAAAAGATGACTTCTACCGGAAACTGTCTAATTTGCTGCAAAAAGCAAAACGTTCAGACATAGTTGTTTTAGCAGGCGACTTCAATGCCCAAGTAGGGAAGTTATGCCAGACTGAGAAGTATGTAGGTGGTACGTATGGAGTTCCCTGCCGACAACGGTGATCGTCTTCTTCAGTTTTGCTCAGATAATCATCTGTTCCTAGTAAGCACTAACTTTAGGCACAAAGAAAGACATTGTGCAACCTGGCGACCTCCATCACCAAATCAACGCTGGACTCAGAGAGACCACATAGCCACAGGGTATCGTTGGCGAGGGTCAGTAGAAGACTGTCGCTCCTTCTGGAACACGTGCGTAGACTCTGATCACGCTTTGGTTCGCGCATGTTTATGCTTACGACTACATGGACATAAGAAATTGACGGCAACGAAACAGTTACGTCCCCAACTAGATCGAGACACTAAGTCCTTATTTAAGGAAGAAATAGCGAAACTAGTTTCTGAGGTCGACAGCAGGACTTCCTCTGAAGTAGCCTGGCACAACATACAGTTAGCTGTGGACACAGCCGTGAAAGCTGTGAATAAGCTAAAACCTAAAGTTAGTAAAAGCCATTGGATCTCTACCGCCTCATCCGAACTGATTGACGCAAGAAGACTGATTCCAGCGAGCTCCGATTATGATGAGGAGCGAAAGGTACTTAAACGAAGACTAACAAAAAATCTTTGCAACGACCATGAATAGTGGTGGACGACAAAAACGAAAGTGATGGAAAAGGCATCGGCGATTGGCAACTATTCAGGCTCATCAGAGAAACAGGTGGCAAATGATAAGCGAAACAATCTCTGAGAAAAATGGCACCATAATAAGCTCCCAGGATAGACGTCTGGAACGCTGGAAAGAACACTATGAGGAGCAGTTCAATTGGCCTACAGCCACACTCAACTTGCCGAACATCCAACACCTCCCTGCATGGGACATAGACACAGGTCTTCCTTCCTTAACTGAGGTTACTAAAGCTGTCACTAATCTGAAGCAAGGCAAAGCAGCGGGACTTGATGGAATGACTCCAGAGGTATTTAAGTACGGTGGAGACAGTTTACTGTCTGCATTAACTGAGGTTCTAGGCAGCGTCTGGGAATCAGAGGAAGTCCCATCGGGTTGGTGTAAGTCACTGATCATCCCGATATACAAGAAGGGAGACAAGTCTTCTTGTGATAATCACAGAGGCATTAGCTTGACTAATATAGTATCTAAAATCCTAGGCTCAGTAATATTGCGTAGACTAAGTGGTGCTCGGGAGGCACAAACACGAGAAAACCAGGCAGGTTTTAGACGAGGGAGAGGGTGTATTGATCATATCTTCACCCTTCTACAGATTCTAGAACATAGGTGTACTCACCGGCGTCCGACAATCATTATATTTCTTGACCTAAAGGCTGCATTCGATTCTGTCGACCGAGAGGTTCTCTGGCGATGCCTGGCTGTAAAGGGAATGCCGAAAAAATACATTGCACTGATTAAGGCACTCTACTCGTACTCATGCAGCCAGGTGAGGGCTTATGGCGAGTTGTCATCTGAAGTGGTGACGACTAGTGGCGTCCGTCAAGGATGCCCATTATCCCCATTCCTATTCAACTTCATCATAGACGTACTAATGGACTTAACCCTAACACACTTCAGCGACTCAGGGATTGACTTGCTACGAGGGAATAATCTCGTTGACTTAGAATATGCGGACGATATAGTCCTTCTAGGCGAGGACTCTGACAAAATGCAGAGTCTACTGAACACCTTGAGCAACAATCTTCGTATGTTTGGCATGCGATTCGCCCCTGTAAAATGTAAGATGATGTTGCAGGATTGGACTTCACCGACTCCGAGATTAGAAATAGGAAGTGAAGTGGTAGAGCACGTTGACCGCTTCACTTACTTGGGAAGTACCATCAGCCCCAACGGGTTGATCTCCGACGAAATCTCAGTACGAATACAGAGGGCTAGTTTCGCATATACCAGTTTACGCCGTCTCTGGCGTAGACGCGATATCCGACTATCAACCAAAGGGCGTGTGTGCTGCTCAACAGTCCGCTCTGTCCTCCTTTATGGCTGTGAGACCTAGCCATGGAGAGCAGAAGACATGAAAAGATTAGCTGTCTTCGATCATAGGTGTCTGCGTTCTATCTCCCGCGTGAAGTGGTGTAATAAGGTGAGCAATACTGAGGTTAGGCATCGAGTGCTAGGTAAGGAGGGGAAATCAGTCTGTGAAATTACATCGACTGAGATGGTTAGGACATGTGCTACGTATGCCTTCCTAGTCATCGCATTCCTCGACAATGGGCAATGTTAGCTGATATAGGGCCAGGCTGGAAAAGAGCTAGTGGTGGTCAAATGAAAACATGGCGTTGGTCAATGAAATCTACAACAGTTAGTCTAAGCCACGTAGGAAGGTGTAGACTTCCTGGTTGGGGTCCTCGGGACGGTAAAAACCAATGGTTGGAAACAATTGGTGACGTGGCTCAAAGTGGTTCTCAATGGCGCAGATACATCCACTCCTTGTGACTCATGATTTCCAATGAAACTGTTTTGTTCTTCGTTATTACTATACCTTTGTCTCACACCTCTGTTTACTGTCTATATTATGCATTTCTCGTACTTTCTTCTCTTGCTTTGTGTGCTACATGGAGTGTGGCGACTTGAACTGCCGCACATATTTGCAAAGTTCTATGTCGAAAACCGACCGACCACCCTTTTTTGAAAGAATAAATGTTATCTGATGTAGGTAATCACTGTCTCTTTCTATTAGAACTGCCTTCGACTCCTTGGATTGAATCATGATTCAAGAGTGACTTTTCGATAAGTTAACATCTTAGAAACTTAGTTCATCACCTCGAAGTATAGTAAGGGCATTTTAGTGGTACACTATCCCAAACTAGCAATACAATCAAACAGATCGTTAACACTACTATCGGTAGCGTTCGTGAGATTAATTTTGAAAATTACATGACGTGTTACATATGCTTTCAGGACAGAGACTATACGACACAGAGTATTGTTAAATAACTTATAAGCTATTGTAATCACATTTAAACAGTTTGCATTAATTATAATGTTCGGAGCACCTCATAAGTGAAGAGCACTTTCGACAAATCGGGACTGCCAAATATCTGCGTCTACTGTTAGAAGTAGTATATCTGGGGGAAAGAACTCCGCTCGTATGTTAAAAGGCTTAGCATCACAAGTCAGTTTCCCTGTTGTCTGCTTTGTTGAAACAGAAGTCTGGCTTCTGCGATGATGTGTTTAAGTTTTGAACGCCAGTAACTTTGCTCCCTATTTACAAATCTGGCCTCTCACATCTGATAATGTTTATTAGTGCTATCCGTCCGATCACCATGGGACTTTCAGCATTCAGCAGAAACTTTATTGTACGATGTCGTATATTCGAGTCTAATACTAATCATTATTCCAGAACCGAAATAATCTTAAAATCCTCATTGCTACGTATATTGCCGAAACTGTTGCAACAAGTTCATTGCCCTATGAGACCAGGCTCACTTAAAAAAGATGGCTGACCAGCGCATAATACAGGATCCTTTGTTTATTCAAAAATCGGTGGGGGTTGTTGTCTTTTGTCATATCACATCCTACCCGATTGAACTTGTATGGCACACAGGGAAACATGACAAAATTGAAATCCACAGCTATCACTATGTAATCTTCATAGGTTCTCTCTGTATGATAAAGAGTACAGGGTTGGTTAATAAGGCTTGCCTTATAATACTGATTCTTTGATTACTTTTTTCCATTTTTACCTCAGGAAATTTAATCATTACTTTGAGTAGTGAACCGACCTTTAGAATAAATTAATTTTAATTAAATGCCTTTAAATCTGACAGTCTTATTGTCTGGTTTTTGGACATGGGTTTCATCCAACATTCCTTCATTGAAATAAAGTGTGTAGATCATATGGTAGCGTTAAATTATGTTATTTGATTATGCAGGCAAGATGTTTGAATAGCCTTTCTCATCAATGAGACAGAGATCCTTATTCAGAAAACTACTTGGATTTACAACCGCTTCTGGCATCAGGAAAATTAACTGTGTTGGACACTTTATCTACTTAAGAGGTCACGCAGGTCCCACTGTATTTATAGGTGATGAAATTTTAGTAAAGATACTGAAGATTTAATTGATTTTCACTAACTTAAGTCATTGGTTAATGTGAAAAAAACTGACCATGGTAGCAGCATATAATTCTACATTCGGTAATTTCCTTTGATATAAAGCATATTAGTAACTGTGCGATGTTTCAAACACAATTTATTACTCATCATCATATCGATTTATTCACACCACTTCCTAAACTGATTTCGAATGTAAAAATAGCGTTTGTGTTTCTGGAGTGATACTGACACAGAGCCTAGCGTACAAGTCAGCAACGCGCTGATCAAACATCAACTATTGCACTCCACATTGCATGTTTCAGGATTAGACTTGTAGGTGCCCAAGATATGCTCACACTTAATAATTTGTAAAAATGTGGACACAGGGAAAACAGTACTATATTCTGCAGTTGGTAACTCCTTTACACGTGTAAATGGTTGATAAAGATGAGAGTTAGACTTCTACAAAAAAGATTTTACTATGATTAACAAACAAAATTCTGACTGATATTTATTCTGACCATCCAAAACAAAGAAAAAACAGCTCAATTAAAGCATTAAAATAGACATAAATAATCAAAATGATGCCCAAAACCAAATGAACATTGACAGTAAAAAAAAAACTTTTAAAAAAAGTTATTATTCATTTATGGTCTGCATAAATAAAGGGGTGATAATATTTCTGTATTCTTCTGCCAGGAGCAAAGCCTCTCAGCAGAATCAGTAAACTCTATCTTGTCTCAGTTTTCATGAATAAGTAGTAGTACACTGGGGACTTGAAAATCACATGACTGAAACTGTATCTATTCAATATGGAAAATCGGGTTGCTCTGCTTGTAATTCAGTTGAGAAAGTGTGATTCTTCTTTCGAAAGTGAATGAACTTATTCAGTAACCAGCCAAAATTGAAAAAAGGACGTGCATTGTTCTGATTTGTTTGTACTAAACAAGCTGGATGATTACTGATACACTTTACATGAATATCTTAATAATAGGTTTCAATGTTTGTGTTATTTTTATGTTCAGTTAGTGTTTATTATATTATCCAACTTTTCTGATGATTATGGGGTTGTTTCATAAAAACCATTGGATCCTGGAATGAAGAAAATAAATGACTTTAAAATTATGATAGCTTTCAAGAATATAAATTTTCTTAAAATCTTTTTTCTCCTATAACTAATGATAAACATGTGTTCAGCAATTAAGTCATTGAATGTATTCCTGAAGGTCATTTTAATTTCAACATGTTTGACTATAGTCAATATGCGTATGAAACTGTTACTAAGTTCATGTGTTATTTCTTCCTTGTAAATATCGGACAGGTAAATTAATTTTTAAGCATATGATTTCATGAATATTTTGCAAAATTAGGTTTTCTTCACTCATGTGCTGTTTCTGAAGAATACATCTAAATCCAACAACCCCAAAACACTGTCTTCCAGATTTATCGTAAAAATAAAAATACGGATAAATAACACACGTGTAACTGATCTAATTTTCTGTGCGTTGAATTTTCTCTAGTGGCTTGATAGGTTTAGTGGTGTGGAGTTTCTTAACCCGGGCTTGGAACCGGCTAGAAAACTAACCTGCTAGTTAATTAGGCGAGGTCTAAGCAGACAGAAATATTAATAATCAAAGAAATTGCTGTATTTAAACCATGAAAGAATTTATGCAAGATAGAAATATATGACTAGTATGCACTAAATGTATCAGAGGTATTTGTAACAGTAGAAGGCAAGACACGGAAGCCAAGGTGTCTTCTTCATTAATCAAACCGCTGTTTATACATATACAGTTTATATTCTTTAACCAATCACAGCGTGTGATTTTGGTTTACATTATCGACATGAAATAGTGTTCAAACACATGTAGTATTCTATTGCTAATGCATTATTGAACTGTGGGAATATGTGAGAATAATATTCCGTTGGAACACATTGTCTGTACAACATCACTACAATATTACTTAAAGTAAAATAATGCTTTCAGAGCTTGCTGTCCACTATTTAGCTATCTTTCCCTTCTCCGCCTTTTGCCAATTAGGTGATTGCACACTTTACTAGTAATTATATTTCTTATCCCATACCGATGATTATACTGTCAGTAAAAGGACACTGGGAATTCGCCTTAAACCATCACACTGACGAAAATATTTTTAAGTGTCTTCATTTTGGGAGGACGATAGCTAACATACAATTGTTTTTACCTAGAACAAAAGCTATCTTCACTACAGTGACCTGACTGATAACAATTATAGGTTTTTTTCTGCCATATTCTAAATACTAGATTTATCAAATTTTTATATCCAGAAAAAAATATCTGCAAAATCTAAACAAGACAAAATTTGTTGTTCAATCTATATATAGAAATATATTTGATATTTTCAGTAAAATGTTGCAGTTGAAATAATATTAAAGCAAATAAATAGTATCTGAGACTCATTTCAAGTTATTCACGTTTGAAACTAGCACCAAGATGTAATTAACACAAGTGTCAAACAGCACTAATCCGCTACATGTTAGAAAATAGATTTAATAGTGGTCTCTCTATATTCTCAATAGCCACTGATACCTGTCTTTCCTTCTATACTTAGTGCTTAGACGAAACCACAGCGTAGAAACTGAGGGATCATATGAGTGTTACCCGATTAAATTGCGCTAATCTTGCTTATTCATCTTGTGGTCTTTTCTTTAAAATATAACCATAAATTCACAATGAAATGCTCTTATTTATCTGCAGTCTTTTCCAAACACCTTTGGAGTCTCAGATAACTGACAGTAATCACCTTCATTGGGTTTAAATGAATACATGGACACTGACTGATCTTAGGATAATAACATCACATTTGTTTAAATGTAATCAAGACCAATTCAGGAAGTGACAAACATATATTCTTATTGTATTGTCGAAATTAGTATAGATAGATATATTCAGGATGAATTTGATGAAAATCATATAAGTTGAAGGATTTTATCATCAGTTAGAGAACCATTGGAAAACCTGAGAGTACTGCACAGCCGTTTCGCCCTAGTTTGAGACTCTTTATCAGTACTCCCAGGTTTTCCAATGGTTCTCTAACTGACGTCAGCTCATGATGAAATCCTCCAACCAATCAAAAAAAATCCCTACAAAAAACCAATACTTGAAAATCAGAAAACTTATGCGTTTGCTTTCATCTTCGTATGTATTAGCCAATAAACTGCTACCAACACTTCACTGGTAGCTTTCTAATGGTAAAATATTCGCGAAAAATTCACATCTACCATCCTACTCCATGTTTGTTTCTGCGAAAGTGACAAAGTAATGAACACTTAGTACTTATTCTGGTCACAAACATTGATATCCTGCTAAGAATTTTCATTTGACAAGTGAAATTTACTTCAATGGACTTATTCCTCACATTTACCTATTTAGTACATTCATGTTCCTCAATATAGCGCCTTTCTTGGAACCGTAGTCGTAAAGGGTCTGTATGAATGGATGTCCCGAGTGAATACCACAAGTCTAAGTCTGGTTACAGTTTTTTTGTTTACTCATTTTTTCTAGCACTCCAAATCACAGTCCCCGTGATCACAAATTATTGAAACCCTTAGAACTGTCTTGTAAACCCCTTTAGTTAAGATTAACATATGTCCAACTAATGTTCCTGGTTGGTTTATGTAACAGTATAGACAGCACAACTGATAGCTGTGCTGAAATTCCCCATCACTCAAATTACTTCGAAACAGAATGACCCTTCCCTTTGAGAAATAATCAGTAATTCACTGATATACAGTGTTGTAAGCCTCTATTTCATGTTGTTCTGCTCTTCGTCATACAACCTAAACGCAGTGAATTATATACTACTGTTAAACATTTTAATCCATCTAAAATGTCACCGTAAATTCTCATCGCTGCGAGCAGGAATTCACCAGTGCGCTTGCTGATTAGCATTTGTCAAGCACCTAATTATATTCTACGTAATTCTGAGTAAACCATTAATTATCTGGTAAATAGCTTGTAGTTACGTTGTCCAGTTCAAACCTTTATGTGTACGTGACAGCTTCCTCTAGTGCACAATAAAATGATGACCACTACTTATTCTGTCTTTTGATATCAGTTCATTAACTGTTTATGTCAGTAACTCATATATCGATAGAAATCACCACACAGTCACATAATCAACAAGTTCATTATCATCAAACAATAGTATGGTTGTATTTTGTATTCTTATCCCTATGGTGCGTCATAACACTTCAAATATTTATTACTCTGTCTATTTTATGGTTTATAATGAGGACAAATTAATTGTCTGACATGTAAACGAGTCATTCGTGATCAAGTCTGAATTTTAAAATAACCGATTAGTGTTGAAATATCAGACTTTCTAAATGCATTGTCCAATCGTGCCTTTTAATTACTCAGATTCTCGGACACTAAATAAGCTCTATAAAATGAACATATTTATTTATTTCATTTATTTACAGAGATTATTCTCATATGTTCATACAGTGTAATTTGAATTTCTCAGTTAAACAAAATTACCAATTTCATATCTTTTCCTGTTTATTTAAACAAACGAATATGACTAATACACTCCTTAGATGAATGGGATCCTAGTGAGGAAAAACTATGAAGACAGTGTCTTTTTGATTGATTCACTTTTCTGAGGGATATAAATAAAAGAAAAGTTTACAGCTCATTGAAATCCTATTTTTATTGTCTGTAAAGATAACAAGTTAAACTGCTCATTCATGGAATAAACATACGTAAACAATAGGAGATTTTAAAGTTCATAGCCATACAGTATACTACTAATTGAAATAAGTTGAATAGGTAGTAAAAGCCTGATAATTTTGATATAAGTATAAAACTTGGGCACTGTGGTAGAGTATAACTCCATAATGGTTAAGATTTTATTTTGATAAACTTGATATGATTATGAGCAATAGTTTGTGCTCGAAACGTCATCAGTTAATATAACTGTACAACACTGTGTGATTTATCAAAATAAAATCTTAACCATTATGGAGCCTGATAATTTGTTGCGCTTAAAATCTGCCCATCCCTCTACTCAAGTCAGTGTATCTTGGAACCCACTGTTTGCTCATTCAAATAAATCTTTTGAGGAGGTAACAGACAAATGCAGTTAGAAAAGAGATTCATGAATGGTCTTTGGTCACAAGTATATTTGCAGCGTTAGCATAGATATGCACTAGTTAATACTGATAAACCAGATGAACACTTCAATATCCTGCAGAAAAATTAGGTAATGAGGCTGGGGCATGAATAAGATAACAGGATGACTTCTTATGTTTTAAATCACAATCATTCAGTAATAGGAATCACAAAGTTCCTTCGATCAGTAAAGTTCCTAATTCACGCCAATGTGATCATTTTTCAGACCGAATTTCAAAAATCCAGTTAAAACACTGATAATCGGAACTTGAAAGTGATCATAAAAAACGTCAAAATTACATTGATCTTATTTCTAGCATAATTCGTAGCCGAAAGTACACAAAATTTATAATGCATAGTGATGCATTTTTCGAAAGCCTACACTGTATTTTCAATTTCGTCTTTTTACAGAAACTGGATTAAATTAGTCTTGTGTTGCTTGACATCACAGTTATAGTAATGACACAGTAGTTTCTATGGTTTTAATATAACGGTAATAACATTTGACCACTTAACTAGTAAGTGGAGATAGATAAAAGGGAAAATGTAACCGAATTCATGTTAAATAGCAGTAACCCGTGACATTTCGAATCCAAACACATTGGGATTTTTCACATTTAACTGAACTTTGTGACCCGGATGAAATGGTTGACTAACTGACCGAATTTCAATACAGAACCTTTCAAACAAAAGCGCAGCAGTTCAAGGTACCATATTCCATACAGCACAATGAGGTAGACGGAAGAAAAAAGAAATTCCAAACAAATATAATGAGCAGAAATTTAAGGAGGGATAGTAACTGTTTTACATATTTTTTAATATTTTTGATTATAGCTTGATTCAACACCGCGTTTTTGGTACAAGTATGGAATTTTTGGCATGTGATATCGGCAGCCCAAATTTTGCAGGTCGACCGTTGATAATAGGTGTGCGTCTGCAGGGGGTCGAACCCCGAACCATGTGCATGTTCGGTGAGAGTCCCGACCGCTGTGCCACCGACGCTCATGAAGACTTAATGGATCTGGGATATCCCAGAGAGTGTATGGCTCTGCGCCATTAAGGACGATTTTGAGCCATATCACCGATTGCCTCCAGCCACTGGTCCTCAGCATCCTGAGATCCCCAACCAGGCAGTCCAAATCTCCCTATGTGGCTCAAACCAGCAATTAAAGATTTCGTGGAGTGTTACCATGTTGCGGTTTGGACACACTTAACTCTTTTCCAACCTAACTCTATGTCAGATGACATTGCTCTTTGAAGTAGGCAATGGCTCGACATGAACAATATGCGTCCTAGCCATCTCAACTGATGTGGCTTTACAACCTCATCAACTGATTTTAACTTCTTACGTAATACAGATTTGTTTCTCGTGAATGACCGCTAAGTCTATGTATGATTATTGAACCTAGAAATTTAGACTCTATATTAGTCAGGCTTATAGACGAAATGGTTGACTATCACAAAATCACTCCAGCCGTAAACTATTCAGTTAACTACCAAGAGTATTACGTTATATGGAATATGATTAGCTTTACTAAACTATGGAAAGTCAACAAACGCCTCAGAACTTCTGCTAATATTATTCACACTTTGCCCACTAGTCAAACAAATGAAATGAAAAAGTGCCCAGAAGCAAGACCCTGTTTAATTCTTACACTAGTTAAAAGTATATGAAAGCTAGTACCTTTAATACAAAAAATTCTGATTACAGCTAACCTTACTTGAAGTATGGTACATTCCCAACTTTCCACTACTCGTGGAATTATCATTTTCTGTTATGTTCTGTTTAAAAGTTGAATGGATTAAATTTCCCGTTTGAGATCGTTGATTAGTCCCTTGGTATCGAAAATTTATGAAGTCAACAACCGCATTTGAAAAGTTAAATGGAATATCTGAGCCATCGTTATTATTATGATTATTATTAATAAAATTTTCACCAATGACTGTAGGATTTCGACTACCCTCCAATTCAGTGTTGTTGGTTGGTATTCTGTCAGTAACACCATCTGTTCTCCTAGACATATTTGACCAGTTTAAAAATGAATTCGCTGAAGTATGTCCCACAGTTCTATCAAACATTGGTAATCGGTTTATTATTCTTGCTCCATCCTCAAAATTGTCACTACATTTGCCATAATAATCACCATAAAATGGAGCATTGAGTTCATTTGAATTCATTCGGTGACAGTAGGAGGAAATAGGCACGGAAGCAGAAGGAAATTGAGTGGTATGAGATACTGGCCGTGTTGAATGAATTTCGTTGAATAAATGGGAATAAAACAATGAATCCAGTGCTTCGGAATTACCTTCTGATAAATTTTGCCTTTTGGTATCTTGTTCATTATAATCTGAGTTTGCTAAATTAACTAATTTAGATGGGATTGGAGGATGACTTCCAATTTCTGTTCGTTGGTAAGACAAATGCTGTTGCTGGATATGATGAGGAGAACTATTCGTAATCTGTGAAAAAGTTGGTGATAAGACAAAAAAATTGCAATGAAAATGTTAACGTACATTTTTTTCTTTTAACAGTAATAAATACCAATTCTGCCACCTTTCTAAGAAAGGTTGAAATTGTTTGGAACTCCGCATCATTGTTTGCTGTATCATGATCACCGAGATGATTGGAAGAAAAAGATACAGATTCTTCTGTGAAAATGACGGGTCAAAGGACAAGGCAAATTGTTGTTACACAACAACATGTAATTTAGCACATAGCAGATACTTCTTGGATCCACTAGCCAATTTGACATATAATTCTTTATACATTTGCCAACGGTGAACTAAATTAGACATCCGTAGTGGTGAAGAACCTGACGCGGATTGTAAAACAACTGTTAGTTTGCAAATTACACATTGGCACGGATCGGTGAGGAGTCCTTCTATCTGTCCTCATGTAGTATTCGGTATCATACTTTTAGTTCAGTCAAACCTCTGTTTATAACCAATTTTGTGGCAGTTATTTTTAAGTTTAATCTCAGATACTCTCCAAGGTTCTGAGAAATGCATGATACTGGAGTCTAAAATAAGTCATCAGTCTCGACTAGGACGGTGGACTCCAGAGAACCTTCCCATCAGTGCGAAAATTTCTGCAGAAACAGTATAATTCATTGATGCCGATAAGTTTTACTTAACGTTAGTAGGCTACCCCGGTAACGGATTCTGTGTGTATAAAATCCTTACAAAAATGAAAGCAGTAGAACTGTAATGTATAGAGCTGCCTTCTTAAATTACAGGAGTGAGTGAAATAAGCAGCTAGATCGTTTCGCTACATCAAGATGCGTCTTTTGTTTTTAATTTCAGTCAAGCAGCTGCAAAATAAACATTGTAAATTATTTGAGCTCCAGTACTTAAGTATTAAAAATTAAGTACAGAGGGGCAGAAGTGATCCAGTTAAGTGGATTATCTTCTTATGTTTATAAACAAAGACGCTACCTAGGAAAAATTTATTTTATAAATTGCTTAGTCTTAAACGAAATCGGACTTGCATGTTGCACCAATAAATCTTACAGTATTACTTTTCAGTTGTATGTAGGATAAGTAAATACAGCGAAATCAAGGAAATGTGTTTTTTTGTATTACGGAGTTACTAGTTAAATGTGACTACAATCTAACTAGTAAGTGACCAGCCACAGCGTCTATTGTTTCAGACACCAATAAGACATCAGTACGCAATTATATTTACAGACAAATACAGTGATCAATATTTGCCAATATTATAAATATATATTGCGTATATGCTGTAACCAAACAAAAGCACTGATTTCCTCAAAAAACCCACCTCTTTGGCGTTGTTTATGCGTGTAGTAATCCTGTTCACAGATTTACCGGAACTGCGTGAGGAGTTCACAACGTACAACTGATTGGATTTAAGTGTATTCATTCGTGGTTTTCTCTTGCGAGTTTGAATCCCTTCTTTCTTCATAGATATAGGTCGATTGATCTAGAATTATTGAAAGACAAAACGGATCTTTAAAGTAACTAAGATGTGGTTGATATGAAAAAAAACCGGTAACACAGTCATATGATGACTCATGGTTTTAGCATTTTAAACATAAGACTGAGCTATTTGAAAGTGTACAGGTTAACTGCAAAGCAAAACACATCACTTCATTTGTTTATCCAACTACCAAGTCGACTGGGTTAGCTTTTTCACAGAATTGATCAAGCTGATAGACTGAGATATGATGCTAAAGTTTCATTAAGAAATCGGCAGTTCGAAATTGGTTAATTAGACCATTAAGAAAGAACAAGAAACGGGGTGTAATTCATAATTTATTAAAATGGGTGATTCACCTGAAACAAACTTATCGTGTTTCGGACTTCATTTTGCCTCTTTTAATGGCAGATTAGTGCAAACTTGAGCATACCTAACTATAAACTAAACCGTAATTCACACTGACCTTGTAATACCTTACTTTTTCTACGAAAATTTTGAAGATGAAAATACTAGGGGGTATTTTCCTTACTCTAGTCTTCCTCAACATTTTGCTGGATTAATTTTCTCTAGGCGTGTAGTATAGTATTTGGATCAATGAATTTGTGAAACTGCTAAAGGTAATGGGTCCTGTCACTGTACTGAACAATGTGTTAATAATAATGACTTGCACACTGCATCTGTTGAAATTCTAAGAATTAAGTTTCGTATATAAACTTTAGCTACTATTTTAATAGTCAGTAGCTCAAATTTATTTAAAAATTAAATGAATTTGTTTAGCGTAATTTCTAGTGAATATTTATATAATAGTAGCAAAACTTATTTACAATGAATGGACTCATTTAGCATTCTAAAAATATCCCACTATCTAACCTTGTGTAATTTAAAATAAAGTCCACAGGCATTGCAAACTGGCTCTCCTTCTGTATTCCGTCTCCAAAGTGTCGTTGCCGAAGTATTACAGTTGGTACAAAACTGTCCCGAGCGACGCGCAGAATTTGTGACACTTAACTGAGAAATGGTAGAAAAGTATGAAAGTAATTCATCATGTGAGTTAATTGGATGAGGCAGTAGCAACTTCTGTAATAGGTGGACATATTTATCTGTAAGTAGGAAAAGTATTTAAGGAGATTCTACTGGTATATAATGAGCTTGCAGACAGAAAGCGTAAATTGATGAATATAATGCATTCGTTATTCTTAACCTCGCCTAGTTTACTAGCCAACCCAATCCTAGCAAAAGAAGGAATGTTGTGTTTGGCATTAGCGACCCTATCTCAGGAAATCAACCCATTTTCTAATGGAAAAACATCATAAATAAACTTATTCTTCGCTGGAATCGGAGAGATGGAATGATGCGGACTGGTGAAAGCCTTTGAGATTCCAGTCAGTCAGTGTATCTTCTTTCGATGAAATCAATGGAATACCCGTCACCTTGTCGAAAGCTACAAAGGCTGCTCAGATTGCAAAAGAAATGAGCAGATATGGTGCAGAAGTGTTCAAATCTGCTAGGACGGATGGAATGGAAGTGGACCCTCCAAATTAATAAATAGAGAGTCAGAAGCTACCTTGGTCAGAACGATAACCATGAGAACACCAACAAATTGGTTATTATGATGCCATCAACAGAATCTAAGCCTCTCATGCAGTGGGAACTAATCTGCCCTAGATACAACTTAAAAAGTAGAAAAGTCACAATTATTCAAAGATCTTAACCGGAGACATCAAAATACTATTATGTCATATGATTGGGATAAAACAAAACAGGAAAGAGGCTCTTGGCAAAATGAATAAGAACAGTGAAATCTTCGAAGACTTCTGCAACTTCAGTGATTTGGGGTACAGAAAGTGGCATGGATTTCACCAGATAGATATGCCGAAAATCAGGTAAACTTCACTTTATTGCATGGAGGATTTCATCATGAACCACTGGAAAACCTGGGAGTACTGGACAGCTGTTTCGTCCTCGTTTGGGACTCTTCATCAGAACGCACCCACCGGGGTTTGAACCCAGGACGTTCTGCCTACAAGGCGATAACCATGAGTGGTTCTCTAACTGACGTCCGCTCATGATGAAATCCTCCATGCAATCAAAAAAATCCCTACAAAACCAATACTTGAAACTTCACTTTAATCTCAAGAGAGTGGTGATGCTGTTTACTAGGCACAAAACTGAAAAGACGAGCCCAGACCACTGTCTTGTGTAAGAAGCTTTCAGGGTCAAGTTAAAAAACCTCAAAAGAAGGTGGAGATAAACCACAGTTTAAGTTCAACACTGAGAAGCTGAAGGATGAAACGATAAAGAACCAATACACCACAGCCTTCAGAACAAAGTTCGAAACATTAAGTAGCATAAAGGAGGAAACCTGTGTGAAAGAACACTGGAATTCTCTGAAAGTGGTTTTAAAGGAAATCTGTATAGCCATTTCAGGAAGAAATAAAAGGCAGGACTAGGAATAGTCCTGTATGGACACATAGAAGCTAATAAAGGAGACAGAGTTCGTGTAACAGAAAATGAACCAGTGCATAGATGGACAATGGAAGGAGAAGCTGAATCAGAGTTATATTGTACTAAACAAAGAAGAAGACCAAAGATAGTTCGACGACACACTATCAGCTGAAGCTGAGAGGGATCTCCGTCATCATACTAGTTAACCAAGTCGCTATCCGGGAAGAAATTAACAAAGATGAAACCAATGAAATATAGTGAATGGAATGTATCGCTTGGAACATATATATTTCCGAATTCCCATTTACGCATTTAGAAAAAATAACAGATTGGGCGTAGAAATATATTCCTTTTCACTTAGTTCCTCATCATTGGCTCTACACTAATATTTAGTTTTTCACATCAAAATGTCTTTTTACCAGTCAAGTGGTTATTTTAGTTAATCAGTTTTAGGTATAGGCGGGGGTGAAATCAAGAGGTTAAAGGTCATCAAAACAAATAACTAATAGATGTTAGTAACGAGATATATAAGTTCTAAAAGAGGGGTGAAAATTAATTACGGAATTCAATATAGGTTGACTCTTAGGCATTGTCAACAAGCTATTACATAATCAAGAAATTTGTAAAATATCAATGATGACTAAGAAGAATAGGATGACTCAGAAGAGTTACCTAAAATACAAACAAGTTGATAGAATTAGCTAGAATTGGAGAAATTAACAAAGTCAATAGATAGTCACAAGGGGAGGGGAAAAATCGTTTTTAAAAACTTAATACATACTATGTAGTTGGTCACGGCAAAGAAAGGGGCTATACAAATTCCTTTTGAACACATAGGCTTGGCTTGTTTAGAAGAGTTCCGATTGCCTATACTGTGTGTAAAAGTCGTACTCCTAGACCGTGTGAGAGGTTGGGTGATATACGATAAATAACCTTAAAAGCTTTGTTAGAGTCATTTTGATGTCCAGTATTGACGAGATGAGCTAGTATTGAGCTCCGTGTAGCTTTATTCGGACCTTTGCCAAACCAAGATAGGAGGTGTTCAGAAATTCGACGATGAACTTGCCTGATCGTACGTCCTATGTAACCAGCTCCACACGGGAAGCTAAACTGGTAAATACACATGGAATAGATGAAACAGGGCAGTCTGTGTTTATTTCCTGAACTAAGTATTAGGCGGCTAGTGAATACACAGCATAGCTTAGCTGCATAGAAAGTCCTTTTGAAGGCCCTTCTCAGACGTTGTGATAAGATCTCACTATTAACATCACCCGTGAATTCTAACCTTAGGAAGACTGACTTTTTGAGGACAGTCGGCAACTTCGGCTTTTTACTTTCTGAGTTCATGCGTTTGTTTACGAATTTAGTTGGATGTCCGTTTCTACTTAATAGATCGTAAATATTACCGAGTTCTTCGTTCAGTGTCTCACTTAAACAGATAACTCTAGCCCGGTGAACCAGACATCTAACCAGATGACGTTTGTATTGTAGAGATACGAAGCTCAGGAAGAGAGTATATTGTCCAGTGGAGGTAGGTTTTCTATACAAAGGTTTACATATTGTTCCGTCTGTTCGTTTAGTCTTTAGGACGTCCAAAAAGAGGATAGAGTCATTTTCTTCTTTTTCCTTAGTGAAGTTAACGCTGGGATGTGCTCTACTGAATTTATTCAACATGTTTTCAGTTTCACTTTCTTTCTTTACAACTATAAATGTATCATCAACATATCGGCAATATAAATCAGGATTATATATTACATCTTTAAGTGGACCATTCTGTAGTTTCGCCAGGAAGAAATCTGCTAGGATTGGGTCTAGTGGTGATCCCATTGCAACACCATCTGATTGTCTATACTATTCCTTATTGAACAGGAAGTTTACGTTCATTGTATGCCTTAAAAGAAGTTCCTTTAGGGATGACATTGGAATTCCAATCTCTATACCCTGCTGTATCAATTCATTACCTTTGTAATCAACTGTTACCATCAAAGGCACATTGGTGAATAACGAAGATGCATCCAGTAATATCATACATTTGTCCCTCACATTTAATTCCTTGATTCTTTCTACAAACGCGAAACTATCTTTTACGCTATTTTTCACAAGTGTCTTATGAAACGTCTGTTAAAATTCCACCAGTCATTTCGCAGTTGAATGGTATGGTGAGCTAGACATATCGAGAACTGGTCTAAGTGGCAAGCCATTTTTGTGAATCTTTGGTAGGTCGTATAACCTGGGTATCACCGTGCCTGCAGGTTTTTGTGTTTCATACAAGGCAGGTGAAATATGGTCTTGTTGTCTCAACTTGATTGGTAAAAAAACGATGATGAGGAACTAATTGAAAAGGAACATATCCATTTACCATCACTATATCAACCCAAGGTAAATGACACTGCTAATTCACACTCCCCAATTCGATAATCATCATTCACAACATCAGCAACAGGTGAATTCCTACAACTCAACTCCAACACACCCAAAGAAATAAAACTCATTTCTGTCTACAGCAGGAAAAATATTAACCGTATCATCTTGGAGGAAATAAAAGATGTCATGCATGTCTAACGCCTACCGGAACAAGCTGGAATCACTAAAAAGCAAATCATGTGAGAATCAAATCTCAACACTGTGCATCATAATCGAATAGAGCATGGAATGACGGTCAAGTCTCTACTCCAACTTCATCGACTTTGAGAAAGCCGATGGCTTGGAAACTGCTTCAACACTACGGAGTACCCCAAACCCTTATCAACCTCATTCAGCAGCTATATGATAGTCCCATATGTCAAATGATTCACAAAGGAAAACTCACAGAAGCTTTTGAAGTGAAGACAGGAGTACGAAAAGGTTACCTGCTATCACCGATGGTATTCCCGATTGTGGCAGATCGAAGCGAATAAGAAGAAGAGAATATGCTGGGCCGATAAGAAGATACTAAAGATCTGGACCTCATTGATGATTCACGTCTAATGTAAAACAAATGCAGAGACCTACAGATGAAGACCAACACGCTGGCAGAAGAAGCATCGAGGACAGGACTCCAAGTTAACATAGAGAATACAGGAGTGATGAATATACCTAACCAATAACAAATGCCAATCACCATCAACGGGGGAAATCTAAAGAAATTCACCTCTTACATTTATCTAGGCAAAATCGTTTCAGTTACCGGCTACATGGATAAAGATGTAGATACAGAATCGAAGGACAAGACAGATCTTCATTACGCGGAAATCAGTCTGGAAATCTACAGTTGTAAGAATGAAGAACAAGATTTGGATTCTGAATACTTATGTTTTATTCAGAAAACTGACGTGTCGCCAAAAGCATTTTTATTAGGCTTCAGAATTTTATGAAAATCTGCCTTCACTGTATACTTAAGAACAGGTATCCGGTCAGAAAAGATTAAAAGTAAGAAACTCTGGCAACAAACCAACCAAGAACCTGTTGCCCAACAAATGTGCCGAAGAAAATCCAGTTGGGTTTTAAACACACTCTGAGTGACGTCGCCCACCAAGTCCTCGAGTGGAACACGAACTGGAAACGACAAAGGTGATACAGAGGTGGTCGTGTGAGAAGATTAGAGCCTATGGGCAATCGTGGAGCTAGCTAAACAGGACCACAGACATCGGGAAAATTCTACTACTCTTATGACGGATAGGAGGGAATAAAGACAGCTGCAAAACGGGAATTTGGAAATTGTGTAGTTACAGATGATATGATTATGTCGCTTGAATGTCTCCTCAGGGTATTTCCAATCCATCTTCATTTCCTTCTGAATATCCGTTAGGTTCCTGGTTGGTTCACTGTCAGAGTTCCTTGTTGTTTGTTATTTCTGGCCACCTTATCTTCGGTATCGCGTGAAGCCAACTGTTGATAAAAGTCTATGTCCTCTGAACCACATGGATTTGACATTCCTCATACTGAGTGCAGTAGATTTTCTAAATGATTAAAGTGGAATGAAGGTCTGTCTTTCTTTTCTGATCCTAGCAGGCCTTGAAGTCCTGATCACTGACGCTTGCAGCTGAAACGATGCCAGGTAAGTGAAAGAGGGGACTTCCTTTAGATTCGCCCCCCTTTGATGGTGATTGACAATTGTTGTTGGCTAGGTATCTTCATCACATCTGTCTTCTCTACGTTTATCCGAAGTCTTGTCTTCGCGGTTTCTTCTGCTAGTTTACTGGCTTTTGCTTGTAGATAATATGTGTAACGTAATTCTTAATGAACAAAATTCAACCAATAAACTGAAACTATATTCAACGCCATTTTTATATAAAGTAATCTAAATATTCATATTGATTCTGAATACGTGTTCAGACAAAATCCGAAATTATAAGGAAAGTACTAGATATAAAGAAGAGTTAGCGAATTGTTTTTATTTTTAGTCGAACACCGTACAATTTAAAACTGAATTTGAACTATTCACTTCTACTAGTGAGAAGGCCAAAAGTGAATTGCTAAATAAAGGTTGACAAACGGTGTCAAGAAAGTGTACTGATTAAAAAGTCAAAAGATTTGACAGAATAATATCCCAGGCGATCGATCTTCACTCGATTTCACATTGCACTAATTTCTAATTACAGCCACAAATAATTTATGCACGCATTTATTCTATAACAAAAATATTTTATCGTAAACTAAACTGAAACTAAGCAGACACATGATAAATGGAGGTAGACTTACTGAGTTTGACGATTCAGGAATTTTTCCTTCACTTAGTATTGGATTAACCCTTTCATCAGTCAATTTTATATCCTTCATAATATTTACTGTATACTGAGACCATGGAGGATAGTTTGAAATCTCTTGTGATAGCTGGGACTCCAAGCGTTTACCTGAAAAAAGCATGAAGCAAACAAACAGATGTAATAATTTGCTAGGAATAATCTTTTTAAAATTGTCTTTGATGTACACATTACTCATCATACAGATGAATACATCTTCGAATCTTCCGGTTTCCTAGTGTGATGCAGCTGTTTCTGATTACTAGAATGATGCAATCCATATTTTCTTTAAGTCGTATTGCCTGTTAATTAATGTGTTTAATAGGACTTTGTAAATCCAAACACCTCCTTTTAAATAACTCAGTAGAAATGAAATTGCGATACAAATCTTCCCGGTTTTTATTTGATTCACTAGATAACTTTATTGATAATGTTTCCTAAGGAGAACAGGCATGCAGTCACACATATGCGAAATGTAAATTATGGGTCCATACTAACGTATTCGACCAACTTTAGGCTTCCTGACTGTGTCCACATGTGTAATACTACCTGTATGTTTTATGAGCAAGTGACAATTTGCAAAGAGAGGTTTCACCAGTAGCAAAGTGTGAAATGATCACGAAGGGTAGATAAACAAAGGAAGATAAGAATTTCTCCATAGATGAATAGCACAACGAGGAATGTGAGATGGGTCACTTAAGAAAGAATTTTTTTAACAGGTAAACAAAAGTCTTCAACACTGTCTTCGTTTCACCAAAAGCAGATTCTGATTAACAATAAAATTCCCGATGATGACTGAATATCTGAAGCGAACACAACAAATCCTATTATTATTATTATTATTGTCGGCATTAGAAGTACTGGTAGCTGACAGTCAAAAATACACTATGGGAACACCGGCTGGTGTTCAGGGTAATAATTGCAAATTAATACCGGGCTAAAGAAAATGTCGTAAGCAGATTTGAATGATTGGCTTTACTGTTAACACTTCGGTCTACAAGGAAAGAAGGTGTGGAAATATTTTTAACTTATATGGTCAAATTTATAACTGCATAAATCCGTCTTATTTCAATTTCATTCTTTTTCCCAGCGACAATGTCATTAGTTATTACTCAACAAAATCTTTTCACCTTATCATCTAGATTTGCTTGGAAATACAGAACGAGAAATGTGACGTTTAATTTCCAAACTATGGATAACACATGTGACCATAAAGTCTTTTATACTTTTCAAATAGACAGTTTCTAAAAAAAATTACTGAGGGAAATAAGGTAATTACCTATATCGTTTGAATTGTTAGTAGAACTGAAATTGGGTGCAGGATCCTTTGAATATGGCTTTACATCATTCCAAATTAGAGCAGATAAATAAGCATTATCATGATCAGTATCAGAACGTTGTCTATTCAACGCCTCACGATTCAATAATGGATCTAAGAAGGGAACGGAATCATCAGACTGTTCGTGCATTCTTCTTGTAGACTGAGTGATACTGTTGTTATGAATTTGTTGACTGCAATTGTTGCACAGATAAAGCTCAGTCATTCCATCAAAAACCCATTGCTGGTTCTGTGTATTGAATGATCCACATTGAACGCATTGAGGACCTGGTTAATTTTCAGAAAAAAATTTAACAGAAGAAATTTTTATTTTCGGAAAAGTAATTGCAAGACACTTAGTTAAAAGTAGACAACCTTTCCTATTTCAAATAAATAAGCTACAAAAATACACTCATTGACTTTGAAGGATTTTTGTTTCCCAAAACCAGTTATTGCATAAATTTCTAAGTATTACTGATGCAGTACCCTAAGGACTTTATATTGAGGATTCATAACACTACCAAATATTCAACCTCACGTTTATGTTTAGAAATCTCTGAGAATACTAATCCTTTTAAAAATGAACTGTAAGTATTACAGCACTGCATAGAGTGAAACAGAAAGAAAGGTTATTACACATCAGTTATCGTCAGACTAAAAATGTCAAGCTTCATGTCGATTCATTGAGCACAGTTTCTTGATACTAACTAGTGAAATTCATAGTATTAAAGGGAGTGGTAACTAATAGGATTTCCACACTTTTAATTCTTTCGTAACTCATTATCAAAATGGAATTAACTCTTTCAGTGACTTATGTTGTTGATAAGTCCACATTTGTGAAATTTGTACACTTTCGAAAAGTCATTGAGATAATGTTTACATGATTTATTATTATCTTTTATCACAAACCATTATCACTCTCATCGCAAAACATTACCATCTGAATGACTACGAGAAAATGGTGAAAACAGGACTACCTGTTACTCTTTCATATGTTCAGCTGTATTTTACATAGTCACTCAACGGATTAATTTGAAAAACATTCATATCTTATTAAGTATTTTTATTCCTTTACGTTCCCAGTGGAACATATGGCTTCAAGCTATAGCTCTAAAGTTTCGGTAGCAGTGGTGTTTATTTTTATGAGGTTAGGTTGCTAGCCTCATGCCCAACCTTCCCTCTTCACTAGTCTGATTACTTGCTTAGTGAGATTAAGGAGTGCGTCGGCCGAGGATCGAGCCCCGGACCACATGCGTGGTGAGCGAGCCTTCTACTGCTGTGCCACCGACGCACACTTTTCAAAATGCATGATATATATTCTTTCAAATCGGCGTATGGGGAGAATTACAGACACTAATCTGACTGGGAAACGTACAAATTTGAAACAGTAAGAACACAAAACAAATGACAGGGAATTCCTAGAAGCCTGATACTCAGACGAATTAGTGACTAACAGACAGACTGCTGCAGATCGAATTCATCAACTAAATAATAAAGAATTAACCACACAACAAAAAATAGTCAACAGAAATAATTGTGAAGCGTTGTTATACTCGTGTTTTTGATCGCTGTGTGAAGAACTGTAGGCGTCATCCAATTTCATCAGTGACCACCTTTCATCATATACAAGAAATTCCCAGCGTCCTATAAATTTGAATGATTCCCCTGTTCATCTCATCTCACTTGTCGAACCACTAAATTAACTAACCATTTCGGTACATTTATGTCTAAGATATTCTGATTTAAGAAGTATTTTTTTTAAAATTCACTATCAGTTTATTTTAACTTACGCTCCATCCATTATATCTAAAACGTAAAACAATCAGAGTATAAAGATCATATGTTTATTCCGTATACAAAACTTGCCAAACTTCTGTCACTGCTACTTTGGCTGGTGAGTTTAGATACTCGATTTTTAGGTTATGTGTCCAAATCCTGCTCTACCTACTGATATCATGTCAAGAAGTTTGTACCATTAGTTTGCACACAAATGCAGCTTACTGCCTGCTGCACAATCATGTATGCGAAAGTTGATTTGCATTCTTTTTATTCGTATCAAATTTGAATTCGAATTCATTCACTGTTCGCCTAAAACAGTTACACCCACATAACATATTTGATCATAAATTGTACAAATAAACATTTGTCTAAACTAAGTAGTAATGGTTATGGCAACAACGAATTTTGAGTACAAAGAATACGTAGATACACATGAATTTTTTTAAAATTTTGGTCAGACAGCAAAACTCTGTGCACGAATTTTCTTTTTCTCCAAATCGAACTGCAAGAAACTAATTTTCAGTATTAAGAATGCCTTATTCATTTGTTCATTTGACTGTTTCAGTTTGTTTTTTCCCATAAGCCTGTCTTTACCAACTCACTTAGTTGACTAACTACCTAACCCTACTAATATATTAAAATGAAATATACAGACACAACAGGCAAGAGGTAAATAAAGAGATGAAGTGAGAGAGAGAGAGAGGGACTCAATGAGAGAGAAGAATAGAGAGGTACACTCACACATGCAGGCATATATATATATATGTATATATACTACTCATGTATAATGACATGGACGAGATTTGTGACCGCTGTCATTGTTGTGTTTGCTCGGCTTATCAGTACGAGTAAGTAAACAGAAAAAATGGCCTTCGCTTATATTTAATAAGGTTGGAGGTGGATAGTGGATGAATTGTTCTCCTTGTGACCCAATGTACAAATTATGACTTTATTCAACTCTTAGTTATGTGATAGTCTATGCTAAGTTGGGTGAGTGGCTATGGATGGATTAAGTATCACGAAAAATGAATTCAAAGAAAATAATAATAGTAGTAATAATAATAAATGAGCAGTCATAGATTCTGTAATTCCACTCTCTTCTTCTCATGAAAATAGTATATTATAACCTACCCACCCTTATTCGCTTCTGTAACAAGCGCATACTAATATCTATGTCCACATATGCTTAAATTCAGCAATAGATATACACACATGTGTACATAAATCTACACAGACAAGATCGAGACTGTGCAAAACTGTGTTTTTGATGGGACAACAACATATGCTGTGTTTGAGTAAAGTAAGCAAACTGTTTCCAGCCTTAAATCATCCAGAAATAATGAATATAATGAATTACTAGAATGTTTAAAAAATCTTGCTTAATAAAAGCCTGTCTGCTCAATGGTCACTTTAGTGTTTGTAAAGTTCCTGTCTGCTTGTTTAAACCATTTTCACGAATTAGGTAATTAATCAAACAAAATACTAATTATGAACTGTAAGCAATTAATATTACGGTGAAAATTATATTGCAGAAAAGTCATCAAGTTTGTGCCTCATCTAAAAATTTTTTTATACTTAGAGCCAATAAAACACTTAAAAACTGTTGAATACATGCGAATGTTGACTTTATGCATACATGTTTCTTAAATTTTCGTAGCTGGGGTATGCTGAGCTCCTAAACCCGATTATCTATGCAGTTCTTCACATATCTTTAACAGTCTTTAAGACTACTGTTATAGCTTCTGGAGATTTAGTCAGAATTAGTTTACACCCCTACTTCTTAGCAGTTTACTGATCACCCATCACGCGTTACAATGAACTCAGTTATTCTAAGTTATTTGTATGTAATGTAAACCAGTGTTAACAAATCAAGCAGATCAATTCGAAATGAATGATAGTCTACAATGACTAACACTTTTGAAGTGTGACGTAAAAATATGCAGGGTCAGTGGAGCTGGTGGCAGTTTTACTTCTTCCGTCCAAATAAAACCTTGCGATAAGTGTAAAATATCTCTAAATCCAATTTTGCTTACTACTACAGAATGTATGTGGATCAAAATTACCCGCATAGTCATACAATGCGATACTATTACTTGTAGTAATAATTTTAAAATAAAAAACTGGTGTATCCCAAAAATGGGATGTATATCACTTTATATTATAAACAAAACTGCTAAAGCAATGGAATAACAGAGGAAAAATGATGCTGCTGAAGAAAAGTTATACAACTGTGATGCATAATTTTCCGTTGACAGTTGCTAACGTAAAAGAGCCTCCACGTCAGATATTACTTTGTACAAGTACACCTGGAGGAAGTCGTATGACAATGAAGTCATTTGTCAAACCGACTCAATACAACACATCTTGTCGTGTTCTCCATAGGAGGTACATGCTTAAATATAAATATCTGTTACCTAAGTTTACCTCTATAACGCTGTTCACCTGACTATATCTTTTCTAGATTTGGGAATCAGGGAAGCTCCAAGCATTAAAATGACATGCTGTTACTCATTGTCAACGTGTCATTTTACATTCCTTTAATTTATGACACATTCCAATAGTCGAATTGCTTATGAAATAACTGTACCACATGCCATGTTGCTTAGCGTCTGGTGCAAAAAAAAGTTGACAGTTTTAGTTGATTTCAATCCACTTGCATAAGCCCAAGTTGAACTTATTCATAAGGCTGTGATATGAACAAAAGAGTGACTTTCGATAGCAGACAGTTACTGCAAAATACTAATGAGAATAAACGCATCTGCAACTGTTTTATTCGGTGGAAAGCGAATCCAGGATATGGGACATTTTTCTGTCAGTCTGACTGCTTTATCACTGTCTGTAATTTAGAAGTTCGATTCCCGGCTAATGCACCCCTAAACCTCGCACAGAGAGGTAGTAAGCCAAGAAAAGAGGGAAGGGTGAACATGACACTAGCAACCTCACCCTATGTTCCAAATGGAACGCAAAGGAAAGAAAATGAATTAAATGAATAAATCTATATTAATTGTTTCAGAAAGCACACAAAGAATACTGTGAAACACAGCACCTCAGTTTTGTGTAGATTTCAAAAAAGAAATTTGATGTGATATAAATATTATTTATTGCACAGGACCAGGGTCCAGCAAGTCTACACGCTGCAACCTCTCCATGAGAACTAGAAAGGTATATTAATTACTAGTTTGTGACTATATTCTTCGCATATTAAATCAAGAAACTTTATATAGCCTAATGGCGAATGAAATCCGTAACTAGTTTAACTACCTTAGTCAGAATTTATGATTAAGAAATACCACTGAATCGGACAACTAATTCGGAGTTTAGCCAGGACAAGTAGCAGCCACTGTAGACCTTGCCTTTTTGGTATTAACTTTTCCTATACTCTTTTAAGTGTTTACCAGGAAAAAGTGTTTTTGAAAATGATTTATGCTGCTTTACAGAACATAACTATTTTTAGAAATGTACTCAGGATAAGTGTGACACTGGGAGACTCAGATACACTGAAGTAAAAT